CTTCCGGGCCGGCTGGGGCGCCCCGGCCCGGCCACGCCGCCACCGCGTGCCGCAGGCGGGCACCTTCCCGGCGGGCAGGGGGGGCGGCGGCGACGGAAAACGGCTGGAGGGCCGCCTCCCGCCCCCGCGCCCCGAGGGTCCCGGGCCCTCAACCCCCTGCGCCTCCCGCGCGGCCGGCCCGGCGCGCGCCGCCGCCTGTTAATTCATTCGGTGGAATTCCGGGGCGCCCGCGGCCGTGCAGCGCCGGGCGCGGGCGGGGATGTGGCGACGGGGGACGGGCCCTGGCTTTGAGAGAACTTCCAGTCTCCGGGATCGGAAGGGACACGACTGGGGCGTGGGGGGCCGGCGGGGTGCGGGAGGCTTTTCCGATTCAGGACTTTTCCTCCGGGAAGCGACAGCCCTGCAGAGATGTGGGTCTTTCTCGGTTCACAGATCAGGTCCTGAGTAGTCTAACGTGATGCGAGGAAAATCCACGTCCTTCCCAGCCAGTGGCCCGGGGCTGGGGGCGTCCATCAGTCCCCTGACCTAGACTGGCTGGCAGAGGGGGCGCCGAACCCCAAGTTCTCTGGAACGCCCACCGCCCCTTGGTGTTTTGAGTTGGATGGCGGGGCGCACAGCCAGACCCAGTGTGGGCCTGGGTGTCTGGGAGAGCTGCTTTGCCAGCCTCGCTCCAAACCCCAGATTCTGCAGCATTGGGGAGCGCTGCCTTTGAACTCAGATGGGGGGTTCCCACAAGGCGGGGTTCTTAACTGGGTCCAGAGACCAAAGCATCTGGAGGGAAGTCCCAGGGTTCACAAACTCCCATGGGAAAAGCCCATATCTCTATTTTCTACCATCTTTAGCAGAAATTCAGCATGGCCCTGTTACGAAGGCCGAGAAACGAGAAGCATGGGCATGAGCACCTGTGACTTTGCCGTTACTAGAAATCGCAGTTTCACGTCACAGTGCGGTTGTGGCTGCCTCGAGGTGTCCACTCATCAGCTCTGCGAGGTTGCCCACTGAGAGACCCTGTGTAATGTCAGCAGAGGAGCAGTTACATCACTAGGCGGTTGGTCGGTTTGTTCTTAGAACTGTGTTTCGATGCAATTGCTTCTCTTAGCAATTCTCTTAATTTTATTTTATGCCTCAAAACATATACTGGGAGCTGATTCCAGAAACTTCCATCCTTCCCCACCTGGAGCTGGGGGATGGGCAAGGTAGAGGGAGGTTGTCAGTTAGGGGCCCAGTCAACTCCTCTGTTTGACGTTGAAAGAATGTGACAAACCTGTAGGGGATGGGGACGCCTGTTGTTTTCCCTAGAACGATGGGGGAGGGCAGGGCTGCAGGCTCTTGACCCACGGCTGGCTCTTCTCCGCCAGAGGGGCTGTCCCCTGGCGGGGCCCCTCAGCCTCAGCCTGGGGAGGGAAGGAGGGGTCAGCCTGGAGGACTGGAGCATTGTTTGGAAAGAGGGTGTGTGCAGGAATGTGAAGGTGAGCCGGGTGTGCATACAGGGGGGGTGCTAGGGAAGGGGAGGAGGCCAGGGGAGCGCTGTGGGGGACCCGGCTCTGCTCCACTGGGGGTCCTTGTCCTTGGTGGAGCTGACATCTCCCTCATCCCGGCGCTGGGGGTGCGGGAGGGGGGCGGTGCTGAGCTAGGTTGTGCTGGGATCCCAGGGAGGGGGGTGTGGCAAGAGGACCAGAGAGTGGGGGAAAAGGAGGTGGTAGGATGAAGTCTGGGGGTGGGGGTGGGGGTGGGGGCAGGCCTTAATCTGCAGCATTCTGTGGTTTAGCTTGCTGGGGACAGGCAACAGGTGGCCTTCGCCGTAGCTTCCCCAGTGAAACAGGCTGAATTCCAACAGCGTTTGCTGGAGGGGCAATGACGGGGTAGAGCTGGAAGCTTATGTTTTGTAGGAAACAAATCCCATTTTGGAGTTTGAGGAGTGGGCCTAGAGCCTGGGGTGACGGGGACCCTCCTGTGGAGGAGGGCACAGGACTGGGGTTCGGGTCTGTGCCCCGTGGACCTGCTGGAGGATGAGTGGAAATGATAAACAGGGAAGTGATGGTTTTGATGATCCCGGGGGAGATGTCTGGGATAAAAGGCAGGACAGCCAGACCTGCTGTGGGACCCCAGAGCCCCCCCCCATACGGAGTTCCGGGGTTGCTGCCTTCCTGAGGCTTTTAAGCTGACTCTGGAGAGACAGAACTCGGGCCTTGGTCTCCGTTTCCGCGTGGGAAGAGCAAGGACCCGGCCTCGTCAGTTTATAAGTTTCTTGCTGGTTTCTCCCCCCCACCCCGACCCCCACCTGTGGCAGTCAGTGCCCTTCCACCTGCTTCTGGGGGCTGCGAGCCTGGGTTTCTGGAAAGGGAAACTGAGGCACAGGAGGACAGTGGTCATCTGCAGGAGGGCACGTGGGCCCCTCACCTCAGCTCTTTGCACTGGTGCCCAAGAGGCCATGAAGACGGGACCCCTGTGGCCGCCTGCAGTTCCTCCCGGGGGCGGGGGGGGGGTGTCCCCTTCCCCCTGCGCCTCTGCTGCCCGGAAGTGCAGACACCCTGGAGCAGCCACGCAGGATTATTCAGGGAGGGACTAGCTCACCTGCTCCTCCCTCTGACTCAAGTCACAACAAGCAACCTGGTTCCCCGGGCCCAGCAGACTGGGAGGGACGCAGGCCAGGCGCTGGCAGACCAGTGTGTGCCGAGTGGGAGCAGGTCAGCGAGAGAGTGCCAGCAGGCCGCCCCGTGGCCTGGGAGACCCCGAGGTGGCATGCGACACCCGCCGGCCCCCTGAGCTGGGAACAGGCTGTTTCCCGGACTCCTGGACTCACGCACCCAGGCAGGTGAGGGCAGGGCAGGCTGGAGCAGGTCCTGGCGGCCAAGGGGCAGGCTGGCCCGGGAGGAGCTCAACAGTGGCCGGCACCCCCACCCCGTCCCGTCTGGGGCCCAGGGAGATGGGGGTGCTGATGGGACCGGGTGGGGAGCCTGTCCCTATCGTTCTGAGGCCTCCGTTTCCACAGGAGAAGCAGGAATGAGAAACCCAGGCTGTGATTCACAGGAGACCCCTGAGGGGGGGTGCACGGGTTTCCATTCCCCCTTCAATCCCCGTCGTCCCTCCTCTGCCTTTTCCTGGGGACTTTGTTCAGTCAGGCGGACAGGCTGCTTCTTAGGGCCCAGCACTGGAGCTGAGCTGAGGGGCGGGAGAGCGCGGGTTTTCCTATTGGGAGGGAGTGGGATGTTTGCCGAAAAGCAGTGCTTGAAACACCTCGGCTGGACCGTGCCCTCGTGGGTGCAGGTGGGCTTGGGACAGGTCCCCACGCTGGAGGGCAGCCAGCAGGGCCAGAGGACATGGCTGTGTCTGACAGTGTCCCAGGGGTCTGGATTCAGGCTGGGGGCTGTGTAGGGCCTTAGAGCTGTCTCATGTCCCTTGTGCCTGTGAAGAAAGGGGGCCCAGCCAGATGGGGTGACTTGCCCAGGTGACAGACTCCAGTCTGGGGCTCCTGACTTCAGGGCCTGTGTTGTGGCCCGACTTGGAGCAGCGAGTGAGCCACTGGTGGGCCCAGCGCCAGACTGGGTCCGCTGAGTGCAGTGCCTCCTCCTTAACCGGGCCGACCCTGGGGGAGAGGAGGCTGCTAAGGGGTGTCTGCTTAGGGCCCCCCATCTCAGTCCCTGAACTGGGTGGCACGACTTTCCAAGGCTACCCCTTCCCAAGTTAATAATTGATCAGCAAGTGTGACTAGCGAATGGCTCTCCTCGCACATTCCCAGCGGCTCCCTGTCCCGGTCCCCAGCGAGCTGAGACTGGCTTCCGCCTGCCTTGGGCTGGGCCTGGGCCTGGTCTTGGCGAGGGTCCGAGGCTGCCCGGTGGGAAGAGGGCGCCTGCCCACTCTCATCTCTGGGAGGATGAGGGGTTGGGAGGGATGGACAGACCTCCGATGTTCCCAGGACATACGGCCAGCCTCTTAGGCCGCTTTGCACAGGCCCCACATAAACTTGTTTTTCCAACCCTGCCACCCATTCTCGGAGCTGACGGTCCCGAGCGCAGGTCCATGTTGTGCTCCGTTGTCGCTGCCCGTGCACGTTGACGGGCTGCGGTGTTTATGGAGGTCTGGAAAGCCTCTCGGTGGCTCTGCGCTTTGTGTCCCCGCAGGCAGAGGTGCTGCTGGGGGTGGGCCCCCGCTCGGGGCCGTGCTTTGGGTCTGCTCTCCCAAGGCCCGTGTTCCTCTCCCCGTGGCCCCTGCCCTCAGGAGGCAGGATAAGCTCCAGACAGAAACTCGGAGGAACTGGACTGTTGCTTAATGGGCTGACTCAGTGAGGAGGTGGCTGGGCTCCTTCCAGACCTCCCGCCCAGCTCCACCCGCCCTCCCCACCCCTGCAGCTCTGCAACCACAGCTGCCCGGCCCTGCCAGCTGGGCCCAACCGGGGGTGTGGGCTCGTGGGAGGGGGCACGCAGCAGGTGTTGTTTTGGTGAGGCTGGGACTGTGCCCGCGTCACCCCCGTGTTCCCAAGCCCCAAGAAGGCAGGAGTGGTGATCGCCCTGTCCCTGAGCAGCTTCCGTTCTAGTCACCCACCTCCACTGCCGGCAACCCTGGCACACACCTCCGGGGCTGCCCTGCCTGGGGGGTCCAGGGGGTCCAGGCTGATGAGGATCTCCTGGTCGTGGTTGGTGTCCTGGGAGTTGGGTCAAGGCTTTGGGGCAGCTGTCTGGCACCTGCCTGGTCCAGAGAGCCGGGCAGCCTGGGCTTTGGGGCACCAGACCAGGGCCTTGGCTGAGTGCCCAGGTCCCACCCACTTGTTGAAGTGCCCTCACCCCCTTAGGTAGCAGGCTGGGCCTCCTGCCTCCCACGTCCTCTGGCTGAGGACAGTCAGCCCTGTAAGGACAGGCCTGCCCCCTGGGGACAGGTCCCCTTGCTGCTTTCTTTCCTGCCCCCATTCTCCTTGTCCCCATCCTTTAGCCCTTTTCCTTATTGACCTTCTGCCCCGGGTCAGTGGTTCCTGGGGCCACCTCTGCTGTTGAGCCACTTGGGCCCAGAGGCCTCTCTGCGTAGGAGGCAGCAGGGAGCTGTGGTGGGCCCAGCGAGCCCCCGGGGAACAGGTGTGATGGCAAGGCCCACAGCACCCCCAGTGCTGAGAACCCCCACTGTGCTCGCCCAAGGACGCATAGTCCTCATAGTCCATGCCCGCGCCCCTCTAGCCTGATCGCTGAGCTCTGTTTGGAACCTAGGGGGTTTACACGTAGCTTTTTTGTTGTTGTCTCTTCAAAGCTGGGGGAACTCCAGGCCGCCCACACGTCCTGGCTCGGGCTGGGAACAGTGTCACCCCTTCCTGCTCTGTGCACCCTCCTCCCAGAAGTCCACCATGGAGAGTAAGGATGAAGTCAGCGACACCGACAGCGGAATCATCCTGCAGTCTGGTGAGCGGCTCAGGAAGTCCCATGTCTGGACCCCAGTCCCGGCTCCCTGAGCCCGGAGCCCCGCCCAGGGCCGGCCAAGCTGAGATGCTGAGGACTGGACGGGGGTATGGGAGGGTGGGAGAGGTCTCTGCTGGGGGGCAGACACTGGAAAGGCTGGAGCACTTTCCTTCCTGATTCTTTCTGGAACTGGTGTCTTCAACTTTGGCCCCAGTGATCACAGAGTTGGATCTCTGGGTGGCCTGAGCTTGTGGGCCTAGGCTGGCCCAGTCCTGACGGGGGGACGAGAGAGAATAGGCGTGTGTGTGCACGTGTGTGTACGCATGTACGTGTGTGTACATGCATGCTCGTGCAAACGTGTGTGCATGTGTGCATACGTGCATGTGTGCGTGCGCATGCTCCCCTGGGTTGGTCAGCACGGCCTGCGGGCTTCCCTGAGCGCTTGCCCTCTGCCCCAGGCCCCGACAGCCCGGTGTCCCCGCTGAAGGAGCTGAAGGAGCTGAAGGAGGTGAAGGAGCTGACGTTCGCGGTGCGCAAGCAGCAGCAGGCGCTGGAGGAGAGGCTGGAGGCCTGCCTGGAGGAGCTGAGGGCGCTGTGCCTGCGGGAGGCGGTGAGCCTTGAAGGCCGCTGTTTGCACATGCACACTGGGGGTTACTCTGAGGAGCCCTAGAGCCCCGTTTTGGGATGCTGGGCTGAGGAAAGGGAGAATTTCGGAAGTCAGATGGGGGAGTGGTGCCTGGAGTCCCTGCTGGGGACATTGGATGACTCCGGGGAGAAGGGATGAAGGGCTGCAGAGGGACGTAGCAGGTTGGGGTGCGTGAGACGAGCCAGGACCAGGGCAGAGGTCTGGAGGAGGTGAGAAAAAAGGCTTGAAGGAGAGGGGCGGGGTGCAGAGGGAGCCTCACAATGCTGGGGAGACCACCCTGGACGACGGGATGGGGTGGCGGGTGGGCAGGGTCAGGCCCGGGGACAGCTCCTCTTGGGGGCGAGTGGAGAGGGGCCTGGCTTGACCTTGTTCCCACTGCAGGAGCTGACGGGCGTCTTGCCAGCCGAGTACCCCCTCAAGCCAGGGGAGAAGGCCCCCAAGATCCGCCGCAGGATCGGGGCAGCTTACAAGCTGGACGAGAAGGCCTTGTCCAGAGAGGTGAGGAACCTCGGACCCGGGAGGTGGGCCGTGGAGCCCGGGCATCACTCCTGGAGGGGAAAGCTTCTGGTGCTCAGCGGTAAAGCCACATGGCTCCATGCGGACGAGGGGCACCCGCTGAGGTGGAGCCCAGATATCCATGGGGAAGATATGCCACCCCAGGAGGCAGAGAGCTGGCAGCTCAAGGGAGGACATTGGTTTGGTCCCCAGTGGGCAGATCAGTTAGAAGCTCAAGCAACCCAGACAGGCAGTGGCCTGTTCAGACAGGTTCTTCTGGCCGCAGGGCTGTCCTCGTCCTCCTTGGCCTGGGAGGGAGAGTGGGGGTGGTGCCAGTCCTCCCAGAAGCCCTTCAGTGGGGTGTGAGTGGCAGCAGTTTCCCCTGCCCAACCCTTTGTAGTCAGGAGGGAAAGTGTCCCACTTTGTGCCTGCCCTGTCTGGCTCGGGGAGCCAGCTGGTGGGTGGGTGGGACCCTGTGCCAGCTTTCCCGGCTGACAGCGTTGCTCGTGGGCACCTCCCACCGTCACCCTGTGCCCCACGTCGGTGGCTTAGAGCCAGGATCCAGAGCACCTGGTCAGGGCCGCCCTCTGTGTCCCCGGGCCCCGGGCCCCTTGCCCCCCGCGCTCACTGCCCCCACCCCCCAGGACCCCCTGAGCGGCCTGGAGCAGGAGCTGGCCCTGCAGCTGCAGATAGCCGAGGCCGCCCGGCGCCTGAGCCGCGAGGAGAACCTGGGCCGGCAGGCCCGCCGGCAGCGGAAGCACGCGGTGCTGCAGGAGGAGAGGAAGCTGCAGGAGCTGGAGCGCTGCCTGGGCGAGCGGCGGCGGCACAGCGGGCCCGTGCCCCTGGGTCCCGGTGAGCATGCCTGGCCTGGGCTGCCGGGAGCCCTGCGGGAGGTGGGCCGCCACGGCCATTGGTCAGCCTGGCCTGCGTGGCCCGACTGTGTTTGAGGCTCCAAACCCCGTGCTGACCCCCTGCCACCCTACAAGCCTCAGCAGAGGACTCCCCCGTCCCCTGGGACCCTGCCCCCCAGCTCCCAGGAGAGCAGCCCACCCCTTCCTTCCGCATCTTGCTCAGAACCCACCACCCTCAGGAGATGTCCTGGGCAGGAGGCATGTCCGGGCTGGCCGTGAGCTGCTTCCAAGGGCTCCTCATCTGCAGGCCCCCGGGCCGCTCCAGGCCCACAGGGACACGCTTATCTGGTCTTATCGGGTCAGCTGGGATGAGTAAGCCGCCAGGGACCCACCATTGCTGTGCGTGGTTTCAGGGCAAGGGCTCTTTCGGTTGAAATCCAGCAGCCCCAGTGCCCCGCCCCACAATCCCTTAAGTTTCTAGAATCATCCTGGTCAAGATGGTCGAATCCCTTTTCTGGTCGGATCCCCATGGCTTATGGGGCACCGAGTGAGCTGTCTGGGCCCAGGGCCATCAGTGGCATAAGTGCGTCCAACCCAGGTGACCTGTGTGTTTCTGAGCCCTCAGGTGGGACCCAAACCCAGCTCTCTCCTTCAGACTTGCAGCCCTCCCTTCCAAGGACATCATGGCCTTGCCTGGCCCCTCCCCCAGGCCTCTCATGGGTCCCAGAGGCGACTGGAGGAGGGGATGAGGGGAGGGGGTGGTGGCCCTGGGCAGACCTGCATTCCAGGCCTGGAGGGGGCTGGGGGAATCACCTGCTGCTCCCACCCCCTCAGGCTTTTTGCCGAGGCTGCTCTCCTCCCAGGTTAGGACCTTGTGTGGCTCCTGAAAGCCCTCCCTGGTCCCATGCCTCAGGCAGGCGGTTATCACCGTGCAGGTCTCTGATTTAGGGTAGAAAGGATGTGAGCCGACACAGGAGTGACCCAGGCTCAGGGGGCGAGACTTTGCTGGTTTAAAGGGCTCTGGTGGGGAAGAAGTCCCCCCACTCCCCGTCCTCTGCTCCCCAGGGCTGGGGTGGGGCAGTGTGGCTGAGACGGTGAGCAGCCCTCAGGAACCATAAGTGTCTGGCTGGCGGGTGTGCTGGGCCACCCGCACTGTGCAGAGGCGACGGTGTGTCTGGCCTGTGAAACGCTGACCTGCTTGTCTTCATGAAGTTGAGGAGTGATAGGGGTTGATGCCTTTCTTCCCAGACCATATATTCAAACCAAAACCCATGACTCTGACCCCAGTCAGCTCCCTGACAGCGATAGTCCCACCATTTCTCCAGCTGGACATCGGCGAAAAAGAAGAACCTTGACATTTTTACTCCGTTTAAACTGTAGAACAAAGGTTGAAAACGTCTCTAAAGGTCCAGACAGTAAATGTTTCAGGCTGTGTGGGCCTCGTGGTCTCTGCCACAGCTACTGACTTCTCCCCTTGTAGCAAAGGTGGCCAGATGTTATGTCAACAAAGCGGTAGCTGTGTTTCGATAAAACTTTATTTATAGAAACAGCCAGTTAACCAGAGGGTTGAAATGGCTTAGTCAAGGCAAGGTCGCAAAGCTAATGGCAGAGCCAGGATTAAAATCGTGTTTCCTGCTACTTGTTCCTGACTTCTGATTTGTTTTCTACTTCCAAGTAACAAAGTCCTACCCAAAATAGTGTTTAACACACAGTTGGCATTTCCTGAGAAGGCAGCTATTGGGAAGGTGGGGGTCAGGCCTGGGCTCTTCTGGACTGCTGGCTCCCCATACCTGTGGGTTGTTGATTCCCTCACCTCCATGTCTTTTCTCCCCTTGGCTTTTGCAGGGCTGAGTGCCTCCGATGACAGCTCCCTGTCGGATGGGCTACTCCTGGAGGAAGGTGAGAGGGGCGGCTTAGGGACGGTCGTCAGGGCTGGGACCCTGGGGCTTTGGCAGAGTTCATCGGCGGGGACTTCAAATGGGGGGCAGAGCTTTGAGTGAGCTAGTGGAGGTGGGTGCCACTCTTACCGATGCTTTTCTGTGCCCCGCACGTGCTCAGCGAAGGTGGGTCTGTGCTGCCTCTTCTGCATTCTGGACACTCGATCATTCTGACAGGGAAAGGGAGGGTGAATTCTGGCCAAGCCCAGGAGTCCTGGGACTCTATTTCCATGGGCACCTGTGAGAGCCAGAGAGCTAGCTGGCCAGTCACTGTCCTTTCTGAGAAGAGGGCAGCAGGAAGCCTATGTCCATAGATTAAGAAGCCTGTTTACAAGCTCTAAGATGCTGGGGGTCAAGATAACCAAGGTGTGCAGTCCCGCCCAAGGGAGTGCCCCGGCCAATAAGGAAATAGCACACACGGGCACGGTGTGAACAGGTAAAACAGGTAAACAGACGGTTCGCTGCAGACATGGCACCAGGAGCAAAGGTTAGAAGGAGGAGTGATGTAAGCCAAGGAGAGTCCGCTGCAAGGCTTCTTGAAGGGGGCAGGTGTAAAATAGGGCTGTGAGGGAGGGATTAACTCCAAAGGAGAGGAAATCTTTTTTTGAGCATCTGGGTCTGGCACAGCTGGACAAGCGGCCACGGAGGGGAGAGCTGCGCATGGACCACGGAGGCTCTTGTTGGGCCGGTTCCCCAGCCACTGCCCTCACAGGTGTCTTTACTCCTGCAGAGGAGGCCCAGGTGTCAAAACCTCCCGCGGAGTCCTTGCCTCTCCCGCCCCAGAGCCTCGAGGGGCTGCAGCCAGCAGGACCTGAGACCGGGGGTCTGGACCGCGCCCCCATCCAGAATAGCCCCTGGAAGGAGACCAGCCTGGACCACCCCTACGAGAAGCCCAGGAAGTCTTCCGACCCCGACAGCGAGGGCAGGTCAGGGCAGGGCAGGGAAAGGGGGAGGGCCGGAGCAGGGGGCCTGCTGGGGGTAGAGCAGGGCCAGCCTGGGAGACGGCCCCCTCCTTACTGTGTGGTGGTGGGAGCTTGGGGCCCCTGCCACGGGGCTCCATTCCTCTGCATAACGTGAACCCCCACATGGAAGCATGCCTGCCTCTGACCTGTCACCACCCCTTTACCGCAGCTCGGCCACCGTGCCGCAGGAGGCGCCCACTGCCTCCAGCCTGTGGCTGCTGGAGCCTGCTTCCTACCACGTGGTTCCCGTCCGCAGTGTCCCCATCCAGCGGCAGGGCCGCACCAGTGCCCCCGCCACCCCCGAGACGCAGGGGAGGAGGGGCCTGTCGCAGTCTCTGAGGTAAAAAGATGGGCCATCCCCGAGGTGCAGGAGGCAGGGACCTGCGTCGAAAGCTTACATTAGAGGGTGGTGGCTCCTAGGACAGAGGTGGGACACCTGTGGGTGACGGCGTGGCCGGTGCCACAGCCAGCAAAGCCAGAGGCCAGTCGTTCATGAAGCCAGTTTTCTTCCAAAGACCCCAGTTTTGTCGTTCTGCACAAGTGTCCTCCACAGAACGTGTGTGCTGGTATCCTTTCCGTTTTCTGCGACTGCACGTTTTTGGTCACTACTGACATGTGCAGTCGGCTCTCATTATTTGCGGTCATTTTACGCCCTGCAAAGTCACCACACATGGCATTGGCAGACATGGCCACTGCTCCTGGGGAAATACAGTGCTAGGTTCCCGAGAGCTTCTGCTCAAATTTTTGTCAACTGATCAATACATAGCCTGTTTCATGGGAGTTTCTGGTTAAAGACACCGTATTTAATATATGTCCTTGACTCATTAACGTTGAAGTCATGTCCGGATGAAGCTCATCTAATAGGCTAATAGGCGTTTTCTCCATGAGGCCGTCATAGCTGACCTGCACTCAGGAACCACAGACAGCACCTCAGCACTTTGCTTGGGGCCATTTAAAACAGTGATGTCACCCAAGAGAAGCACAAAATGGCAAACAACAACAAAAAAGCGAGCACTGAATAGACTGGAAAGGCCAATTGTTGACACTGAGCTGAAGCGAGCTGTCAGAGGGTCGCCTTATTCAGTCTCAGCTGGGAATGGACCTGCTGGGCAGCCCCAATTTTTCACCATCCTGTGCATGTCCCCAAATGACCACGCAAGTGCCACACATGCTGGTTATGACATGACAGATGAATTCAGCGGTGGGAGAATTTGCAAATACAGAATCCGCAAATAATGAGTCAGTTGCATGCTGCTTTCCAAGCCTCCCGCTGCTTTCCAAGCCTCCCGCTGCTTGGTGCTAGTTTAAGTGACAGTGTTATGACAGGTGTTAGCGACACCACAGAAAGCCCTGGGCCCCAGCAGGCCCTGCCGGGTTCCTCCATCCGTGTAAATTCGCTTGTCAGGTAGCCCGAGACGGGTGCAGCCTGGAACACCCACTCTCACGTCCAGAGTGAGTTTCAGGCTTTTTGTATAGCCGGTGCCAGGGCCCTTTTGCAAACAGTGCCTTTGTGCCAATTAGGAAAAGGTGTCCCCTCTGGACAGACAGGGCCCGGTGCCCCTGTGTGTCAGCAGCAGCAGTGTGAGGGCTGGATTTCAGTCCCTCTGGGGCTGGCTGGTGCCCTTGGGGACGCCACCCTGTGTTAGTCTGTTAGTGCTGCCGTAAGAAAATACACCAGATGGGGTGGCTTAGATGACAGGTGATTGTCTCAGCGTTTTCTGGAGGCTGGAAATCCAGGATCAAGAATTGGCTTCTCCTGAGGCCTCTCTATTTGGATTGTAGACTGCGTCCCCGCCCTCTGTGCCGCGTTCAGCTTAGACGCCTGACAGTGTCTGCCTGAACAGGTTCTGTGGATGAACCAAGGGTCCCTAAAATGGCTGAGAATGGGTGACACGGCTGTAGCACGCTGGAGACAAACCAGGAATGGGAGTGGAGCAGAAGGCTCCACTGGGGTGAAGGGCGTGCTGAGTCGCGTTGGGCCTGGACGGTGTGCGCCCCCACCCCCCAGACTCAGGACGTCCGCCTTCATCCTCCCCGCAGGACGGACTCCTTCCGCGCGGGGCCCCGCCGCCGCCCCACGCACTACACGGTGACTGTGCCCAGCTCCTGCTGGACCCCGGCCGGGCCCCCACGGCCGCCCCACACTCCCAACTCCTGCTCGGAGGACAGCGGCTCGGACGGCTCCAGCGTGTCGCACGCCACCTCGCCAGGCAGCAGCAGCCCTGACATCTGCGCTCTGCGGCCGCTGTCCCCGCCCGCGCTGCCGGGCCACCACGGGGCCTGGGGCCCCGCTGCTCCCCATCCAGCGCTGATGCTGCCCCCGGGGCCCTTCCCGGCTGGGCGGTACGTGCTGGTGGCCGAGGGCTGCCTGCCGCCCGGCGAGCTGGACCTGGTGGCCCGCGACGAGGAGGGGCTGGCCCTGCGGCTCCAGCAGCTGCAGCAGCTGCAGCAGCACGTGCGCCCCCGCGGCCGCCCAGCGCGCACGCCCTCGCTCAAGGACAGCCCCGCCGGCCGCGCGCTGTGCAGGGCGGCGGTGACCCAGGAGCTGCAGTCCTGGCACGAGCGCGCCCGCATGCGCAGCGCGCGCCCCCACTCGCTGGACCGCCAGGGGGCCTTCCGCGTGCGCAGCCTGCCCCCCGGGCGGGCCCTGGGGCCCCGGACACAGGTAAGTGTCGCAGGCCCTTGCATCTGTGGAAGGGCCGCCAGCCTGGCAGGTCCCAGAGTAGAGAGATGTCACACCAGCAGTCTGGTGGCCAGGTGACCCCCAGCTGGGAAGAACAGGCCAAAAAAACCATTCCCTCTTGGTTTTGAAACGCACCCCTGACTCCCTTGGGGCACCTCCTAACTTTGCTGCTAGACTTCTCAAGGGCTCCGCAGTTGATCCCCCAAACAGATACGCCTCTATTCCTCATCAAAAGTCCAATCCACATTGACACCCCCCACAATTTCCCGACTTGAGGGCCCAGGACAGAGAGGAGAGTCTGGGGAAGTGTTTGCCTAAGCCAGAGCCTGTGACTGCCTGTCGCTCAGCGGCCTCCCCAAGGCAGCTGCCTGTCACTGGTCCCTGCTGCCACGCTGGAAAGCCGGGTGGCATACGGGTTGAGTGCACAGACCCTGCGGTAGGCTGGCGGGGTTCAGAGCTCAGCCCTGCCCCTTACAAGTGACGTGATCGGGCAAGTGGATTAACTCCGGAGCCTTTCTCCCTCCTCTGTAGAATGGGACTGCTTTTGTCACAGGCAGGTAGGGACCTCGATGAGTTCATGTGTAAAATGATGAGAGGAATGCGTAGTGAGTACTAGGTGAGTGGTGTTGAGTACTAGCTCGCAGGACACAGCACCCTGACAGTGACGCAGGGGTGGCGGCCTGGTCTCTATGGCCCTGTCTCTTCATCCCGAAAGTGGGGGAGACATGCAGATGAGCCCCATCTGTTTCTGCCTGGTACGGAGGGCTGCTTCTCTGAGAGCCTAGATTCCCCAGGCCCAGCTGCACGTCATCCCCCACACCACTTCCCTGGGCTGCGGCGGGCATCTGGGCCTGGCAGCACCCTGGCCCGTCCCGGCCGCACCCTCCAGCTGATGTGCTTTTCCTTCCTGCGAGCTCAGACCTGTCTTTGGCCCAGGCCCAGCCCAGCCCAACCCGCCAGACAGGGAGGGTGGTGTGAAGTGAGCTCGGGACGGGCGGAGGTCAGGGTGCCTGGCGTACCCCATAGAGCGCTGCAGTGGAAAGTGGATGCAGGGTGATCCCTGGGGGGCAGAGGCCTCCTGGGGAGGCAGGGGCTGAGTGGCTGGGCCGGGGCTGCCCCTGGTCAGCGTTCTTAAGGGACAAGGGTGGTACAGCTGTGCTTGCGGTCTGGACATTTCTGCCTGGTCTGCTCACCCACCTTTCCTTTCTCCCTGACCCTGGCAGGTGCCCACAGTGTGTGTGCTCCGGAGATCGCCCGAGGGGGCACCTGTGCAAGTCTTTGTACCTGAGAACGGCGAGATCATCAGCCAGGTGTAACCAAGGCCAGGTGTACCCTGTGCCCCCAGGCCGCGGCTCGGCTGCCGGAAAAGACTGTTTCCTAGCGGGGCTGGGGCTCAGACTGCCCCCCCTCGAGTGCCTTCTGTGCAGCTCCCTTGCCCGCATCGCAGGACGATGACCTGGAGCTGAGACTTTTTTTTTTAATACCAGTTTTTGTTGAGAAGTCCTGGTCTGAGGATTTATATTTGTCGTTTGTCCTCAAGATCCCTCTAATATGATAATGCTTTATTCCTCGGAGGCTGGCGTGCTAGACCGGAGTCCCGGCCTGTCTGAGTGACATTGTCTCCTTATGCAAGACATGTGGTAGAGAATGCACCAGGAGGCAGCGAGGGCCAGTCGGGTCCTCAAATGCTCAGCGCTCCGGTTCTGAGAACTGGCCTGGAGAACAGCTCGGCCTCCTGTCCCACTGCAGCTGGAGGCTGGCTGCGGCATGTCTCTGCACCCCACTGCCCGTTTGCCAGCCCTCTGGGTACCGCACTGGGGTACCCCACCCCCCTTTACAATGTGCTCTGTGATGCACCGATGTGGGTTAAAAGCCAGTGCGTCCTGGTGGATTATGGTCTTCCTGACCTGTGAAGCCTGTGGGGGGCCCCCCTCTCCACTCTCCAGGCTCTGTGGGCTCCCAGCTTCTCTGACCGCTGAGCCTTGATGTGGAGGCTTCCCCAGATTGAAGCATCATGAGGCCCGGCTGGGGGCCACCCTGTGGTGCTGGTGGCTGGAGAACAGCTCACCCTTTGACCACTTTCTCTGATCATCGCGAGAACTTGCAACGCCACCACTCCCTCTAACCTCTTTTCATCATAGTCCTAAAAGCCAACACCTTACAAATATTTTGGAAAGGCACCGGTTTTGTGGCTTGTTCTCAGATGCAGGGGGCTCACGGCTCCTGCTCCCCTCCCAGCCATCCCTCTGCTGTGAGACTGGGGTTCCTTGACATACAGATGGGAGCACCTGCCCTAAAGGACGCTAACCAGTTGTCCCAGCTGCCGTGACTTGAGCTGCCTGTGCTGCGTGAGACCATGAGGTGGTGCCTGTGTTCTCATCGCGGGGCCTTTGCTGCTGGTTAAACCCAGATGGGGCTCCTGCTTCAAGTGGAGGCTGGGAGGGCCCGGGAGCGCTGAGGTCTGATTTGGCTGGCACAGAGCCACCCTTTCCTGGACTCAGGCAGGGACTGGAAGTACCGCCGAAGGCTCCAAGGATTCGATGCCTGACCAACAGGCCCCTTCTCCCTCCTGGACAGAGCGGCGTTGCGGCTGCACGAGGGTGCCGCGGGAAGAGCCCAGGTGGCCTGTCGGGGGGATCGGGGAGGAGGGGGAGGGGGCACCTGCACGTTCGAATGTTCTGCTTTGGGTACTGTTCTTGTCCAGTTTGTCTTTCCCCAGTGTCCAGCCATCTCCCTTCCCAGTGTCCTCCGGGGGGCTGAGCTGGGAGACAGCTGAGCACCCCCCACACCTGAGCGTCCTTTGTATTAACTTATTGGTCCCATATGATGCCTGGTGCTGTTGCAGTGGCTAATTCGGCTGCAAGGGCTGCACCTGTGGGTTCTAGTGCCAAATACTTCAATAAAGCTTGTTTGTGATCAGCCGGGCTGACGGTAAAGGGTTCTTTTGTGCCACGAGGCTCTGCCCAGCCCTGAGGAGGATGCCCAGGGTGGCAGAGTTGCCTGGCCTCTCGGGCCGGTCTGGCTGGGTCCTGGGGAGTGGGTGGGCTGGGCTGGGTGGGGTGGGAGGGGGCCTCTCGGCTGTCTGCTTCCCTGGCAGGGTGGAAGCAGGCACACCCTGGGTCCAAGCCCCTCAGGTCTCCAGGCTGGAGGAGCTGGGCTCTGGAGTCACTTCCCCAAGGACAGGCGACCGGCAGCCTCAGGTCTGGCTCCTGCCCGGCCAGGCTGGGCAGTGGTCAGTGATGAGTGTGGCTGAGCCTCCAGGTCAGCCGGCAGGAGCTGCTGCTGCCCAGAGAAGAGGTCCTGGTGAGAAACAGCCCCTTCTCCAAAGCTGCACAAGTGGGGTGCTTCCTTGGGGCGGTGTCTCTCCACAAGGCCTCTCCCCATCTCCGGGAACCATGGGAGCGGGTGGGAAGCTCACACCCTGCCACCTCCAGGCCTGTCCTGCAGGGGCCGCCTCGGGATCTGGGGCACAGCGCCCCCTAGAGCCCGGTCCCAGGAGGAGTGTGTGACTGGATCTGAGGTGCCCAGCGAGTCAGGTAGAGGGGCCCTGCCTGCCTGTCACCCCCCAGAAGAGGAAGTGGCAGGGAGGGGTGGGCCGGCAGATGGCTGCTGGCCGGGCGCTTCCAACTCTGTCTGGGTGCTCAGCTCTGGGGACCGGGGCCATCTGTGGCTTCAGGGGCCTGGCTGGCTGAGGCCCGGGGTGGCGTCCCTTCTGGGTGGAGAGGGGCTGGGAGGGGAGATGGTGCCAGGGGTCCTGGGAGGCGCCGGCCTCTGAATTGCAGACCTGGGCATCGTTAGTCTTAAGTGGACGGTGGATATTGGGGCACTTGGCTGAGTATTTCAGACACGTAAGGAGTTAGGCTCCCGGAGGACAACTGGCTGGAGGGGGCAGCTCCCCAGCCACAGGACAGACTGGGACCAGCTCAGGAGAGGGGGGGACAAAAGAAGAGGGCTGGGGTCCCCCCACAAGGTGCTTCTTAGGAATTCTGTGTTCTGGGGATCCCAAGTTCAAGGCAGTGAGGGCCAGTCAGGCAGTACTTCCTGGTGCACAAGTGGGGTGGGCTGTGTCTGGGAGGGGCCAACATCTGGGGGCTCCTAGCCCCCCTCCCACAGGGAAGACTGGGATTACCAATTGGGGAAGGGGACAAGCGTCTGGTACAAGGGGCTTTAGGACCTCAGCAGCGGGACTCCCAGAGGCAGAGGGATGCACACCTTGACCTGGGGGGGGGGCTGCCTCTGAGTCTCAAGTGTCCCCCACGCAGGGAGAGCCCTGAATGGAAGACTCCTAGGAAGTCAGGGTGACGCGGGGCCCTTCCGAGGGTCCCATATCTTCCTACAGGTTGGGACAGGGAGCTGAGCCCGGCCCTGGCACTGCTCAGCCCGTTCCTTTTCTCGCACACAACCAGGGCCTGCATCCTGCATCTTGCCCGGCCCCCCGTCACCGCACGCTGCAGACCACTGCCCTGCGTGTGCAGATGAACCCAAACCGCAGAAGTCACAAGACAAGCAAAGCGGCCTCTGCACAACCCGCTGAGCATGCGTCTTGGAAGCCTAACCTGACAGGTGAGCAGCGGGCTCTGAACCCGGCCCGCCATGGGGCAGCTCACGGCAGCAGCTCAGACGTGGTCATGATGGCCCAGCCCGGGCTCGAGGTGTCACGTGGCGGGCACGAGCCCACCACTTCTGGCTGCCCCTTCACAGCCTGCACAGGTGCATACCTGTCCCTTTTCAGACCCGGCTGCTTGAGAACCCTGGAGCTGGGTGGGGACCAGGACATTGTCTGGGCTCGGAGGTAAACGCTCCCCAGCTGACCGTTAGTGCCTCCCTGTGCCAACAGCCCCCAATCAGGGTCGGCCTCGCAGAGCCCAGCCCTCACCCAGGCTCTTAAACCCACTGCCTCTTGCTTTTCCACTCAGATGCTTGGCAGACGTCTCACAGTTAACATGTTCCAGACTTGACTCGGAACCCCAAACCTGTTCCCCGTCTCAATGCAACTCCCCCCTCGGTTTCTCAGGCCCCGAGTCTTGCTTTCTGTCTTTCTCTCAATCTCACCTCTAGCCGGTCACTGTTCCTACCGGTGCTGCGCTCAGAGTAGGTATAGAACCTGGCCCCTCGCTCCTACCTTCCCTGGTATGGGTCGCGTCATCTGTCCCTGGATTGATATGCCACGCCCCCCACTGCACCCCCATCTATTCTCAGCGGAGCAGCCAGAGCAACCTTGTGAAACGAAGGTCAGACTGTGCCTCCCTTTTACTCAAAACCCACGCAGGGTTCCCATCTCACTCAGAGCAAAAGCCACACTCCCGACCACAGGCCTTTAAGGACCCCCTCCAGGCACACAGCCTCAGGCGCGATCCTGCCTCAGGGCCTTTGCATCTGCTGTTCCTTTGGCCTAGAATGCCCTTTCTCTAGATACTGGTATGGCTTCCTCCTCTGGCTCTTCAAAACCACTCACACCAGTCACTGAGACTTTCTCTGATCTCCTGTGTGTATTTATACAAACCTACATGAGCAAATGCAAAAACACGTCGTTTAGAAGGACACAGGACAGCAGGTAGTTTCTGGAAAGGTGTGTCAACTGTCTGTAAGCTCCGCCTGGAAAAACACCTTTTACATAAAAGGTGTTCAATGTCTGTGCCCCAGGAGGAACTCTCTGTGTGCCAGGGGTCCTTCTAGGCTTCTCATACAGGAATTCATTTGAGCCTCAGAACAGTCATAGGTGCTGTGATTATCGGGCCCCATGTGAAGATGACAGAATTGAAACGAGGGGATAGAGCCTGCTTAGGCCTGCTCCTCACATGCACAGACAGGAAACAGAAGCGGAGACTTATATCTGGAGGTCACAGGGCTAATGAAGTGGGGAGCTGAGCTTTGAACTTGGCGGTTTGATTATAACTGCGGGAGCTGTGGCTTCCAGCCCCACCCCAGGGCGCGCCTCTGCAGGGTGACGTGAAGCGGCCCATGTCACTTTGGGTCCCAGTGCTGCCACCATCTCCACCCTTCTCCCTGCCTTCCCGATGCCCCTCGAGATGGACAGGCTCTACGCTTAGCCTCACCCCAGCCTCTGCGTCGACACCTGGGTCCCTGCTCAGGGAGGCTTGCCCGGAGGGCCCCGTGGACAAGGGGGGTTCCAAGGCTGTTTGGGGTTTCACACCCATTCACATTGGGGAATGTCAAAGCCCATCTAGAACGATTTGTGGCCACGGGGTGACTGCAAGCTCTCTCTCTCTGCAGTCTTCCATCCCTGGCCCGATGTGGAGAACCTCTTAACTAAGTTCCCTCCACTACGTTTCCACGTAGGCCTCGGAGGCCCACTCCGGGCCACAGGATGGGAGAAGCTGGCTCCGGAGCTGGGGTGCCCCCTCCCCAGGCCTCTGCTGGCTTCTGAGCCATCGTGGCAGAGGGCTGGAGCAGGGTGGCCCCGCCTCCTCACTCCTTCTGAGAGACTCGGCCAAGCTCCTCCAAAAACGTCCCTTTGCAGGATTGCGCCAATCAGAGAGAGAAGCTTATCGGTTCATCCTGGAATTCCTAGGACATGGAGAAATGGTAAGGAAACTCTCTGGGATGTTTTGAGAACTGAGGAAGAAAGTGAGGCGGTGGGGGGAAGATGACAGCTCACGCTTCCTTGGGTTTTGAATAGTAGCCCTGGCACGAAAGCCACCAGAATCCAGCCTGTTGGGCCTTCTGACGTGGGCAGTCTCAGGTGGCCAGGCCACCAGACACGTCCGTGTGAGAGCATCTCACTCACAGACCCTGAGCCCCACTGTCTCCAGAGGGCTACAGTCCAGGGGATGGGGCACCGTGTGAGGAATCCAGGCGAGCACCTGTGGTCCAGGCTGGGGGTGAGGGTCCCACGGGCGGCCTGCAGGAGGCGCTAAGGGCCAGAGTATATGCTCTGCCCTAGTCCAACCAGGACAAGCTGAAGTTCCTGAGGGCTGTGGAAACCCTGAGCGGTGCCGTCCGCACACAGGCAAACTGCATGATGGATGACTACTTTCCCAAAACTGTGCTGGCCAAGCAAGTCGAGGTGAGGGGGTTCTGCAGGGGTGACGGGGGCAGGTCCCAGGCCTGCGGGCCAGCGCCTCTCTCAGGGGAATTCTTGCATGTCTTTGGTCCTTCTAGACGTTCATCCTTGAAGAGGAGAGGGAGCAGCTGACCAGCAACGTGCGTCAGCAAGCCATGCTCTGCATCGTGACCCTGAGGTTCCTATCTGCTGTCGCCTCTGAGCCCCGGGGGTCTCTGACGCTGAGAATACTGGGGTTGGGAGGAAGGGGCAAGGTTTGGGGGCTTGATTTTTGGGGCTGTGGGTGGCAGGGTCCTGTGATTGCCGCCTCATGGACGAGCATCGGGGTGGTGAGGTGTTCCCCCATTTCACTACTGGAAGCCTATTAGGACATCAGTGTGGAGAAGACCGCTGGAAAGGGTGTGGGGGCTCAGGTCCCCAGTTTCCTGTGCCTCAGAGGCCGCGGCGGGAAGGTTCTAATGCAGCGTCCTGGAAACATAACCCAGCTCCCACCGGTGCCTCCGAGCCCCAGCTCATCCCGCCCGGCCCCTCCCCTGCAGCCAGGTGGACCCACCCTTCAGCTTATCCCAGAAGCTGGACCTGGTGAACGCGGGGGTCTCCCGTGTGTTTGCGCTGCAGCACATCATGTCCAGTGTGGACTGGAAGAACACTGCCAGTCTCTACTTCCAGGTGAGGCCACCTTCGCCTTCCGCTGGGGGTCCCCAGGGGCGGGGGCATTGTCTTCTGAGGCTCCCGCTGTCCCGTCAGCTCTCCTGACCCCTCCGGCCCCATCCTCACCTGTCTCCCCAGGGGGGGGCTCGTACTCCCACACCACGTCCATCTCTCACCCAGGCTCCCACCTCTCCAGTCCCCTGACAGCCTCTGTCCTAAGAGGTGACGGTTCAATGAGAAAACCCGTAGATTCTGTGGGATAATGGACCAGCAGACTGACAAATCCTCCCAAGAGTTTTCAGTTTGTAAAACAGAAGTGCCCTTGATCTAACAGAATGACTGTCTCGTGGGGGGAGTCCCTGGGGTCTGTGTGTTGGGGAGAACCGCCCAGTGCCTGCATTTCACTGGTTGGCCTACGATTTGGGCTGATCCTGGGCCACAAGGGCCAGCACTTGGGACGATGAGAGTGTGGCGGCAGCGCTGGCCTGGCCCCCACGCTCCTCCCACCGAGGAGGGGGTCTGTGGGGATGGGGTGCCCGGGAGTGACTGGGGCACCGTGGCTGTCCATCCCCTACACCCCACGTGTCCCTGTTTCTCAGACAGCCCAGGCCTTAGAGGACATGCTACAAGCTCTCGTGATGGATGGTCTGGACCCCAACATGGTCGTACTGCAGGAAGTGCTGGAGGTGAGTGGCTGAGGCGGTCAAGGCCGCCGGAACCTCTGTCCGTCCTGGTAGCGGGGGCGGAGGAGAGCATCAGTGGGGTCGTGTGGGTGCCTTTCTAGCCCAAGGCCACCAGGTCTCAGGCCTCAGCGTGAGACAAATTCCTGAATGTCCACGGAGGGGTCTGGTGCTCTGACAGAGGGGCCGCCCTGAAGGCACCGTCCAGGAAAGGGGGACACACTTTTCACGTCCCCCCTGGTGGGATCTCAACCTGCCTAGTAATACTGATACTGCTCTCCCAGGGATGTTGGGAAGATAGAGTGAGTACTATACACAGAATACTGCTCACCAGGAGATTATTATTAATCTCCAGAGATTGATGGCTCTGAATCTCATTGTTCAGAGAGCAGCTCAGCCCTGGCCCTGGCCAGTGGGCAGGGGTTTGTTTGGCTACACCATGAAGAGAGCCCTTCTCCCTACCCTGCCCACCCCCTCGCCCCTGTGGGAAGAGCTCAGAAGGGAAGAGGTGAAGGCCCGAGACTGGTATAACTTTGCTTTGCCAAGTTCACGGGCCGGGGGCTGTGGACAGGACAGGGAGGGAAGGGGCTGTGCTCCCTCCCGTGAGCGGTGCTGGGGAGACTCTCTCCTCCCAGATCATCCTGCCTTGGCTAACCATGTCGGAGAACTCGCAGGAGCAGACCCGGGCCTTGTACGCCATCTCCCACTTGCTGAGGTTCATTTGCAATTTCCCCAGGCTGTTGGTGAGTGCTGGGTGGGGGTGGGGGCTGCATGCCCGCGGGTGCCTGCTGCTCGACCAGGCAGAGCCGAAGGCAGTCGGGGCACCCGTTGTCCTGCCCCGGTGCCCTCTCTGCTCCTGTGGGGCATTGCTCTTGGCCTGGTGAGCTCCAACTGGCCGGACACATCGCAGCCTTGGTGGGGACTGTGGCCTGGACAGCTGGGCTGGGTCCACTCTTTGGCTAATGTGCCTCAGGGCTCTGGCTGCCACATTTCCCTGGGGGGCTGGCTTGGAAGGGTTCTCTTTGTGTGGAGCAGCTGAGCCGGGGGGGGGGCACTTACAGGCAGATGACTGAGTGATGGTCGGAGGGGCTGGTGGCCGTGAGGGGGAGACGCTCTCTTTGGGGAGCTGCAGAGGTGACCCATGTCCTCTCCCTGGCAGCACATGACGGAGTTCTCCATCAGCGGGAGACTCATGGGCACCTTAGGCCTCTTCTGCACGAACCCCCAATATGACATCTGCACGGGGGCCTCGGAGGGACTGCAGTACTTGTTCCAAATCCTGGTGCTTCATAGAAGTAAGTGACAGGAGCCTGGGTGGCCACGTGGCTGCAGCTGGGGGACCCACTGACCACAGCGGTTACGGTGTCAGCACAGCAAGGGGCAGACTCCAGGGGAGGGGCGCTGCCCATCCAATGCCCTGTTTTAAGTGACTCCAGGAGAGTCTTAGAACAAAAGGGGAGCCACCTTGCAGCCACCTGAGATCACCTTGGACCCTCAGCATGTCCCAGCTGTCCCACTGCCACTGCTGGATGTGAGACTCAGAAAATGAGCGTCCTTTCCAGGGAACAAACGGGGTGATGCTGACCCCGACTTTCTCTGCCCTGGGAAAACCAAAGTTACAGACAGCCACACGCACCTACAGGGGTGCCCGAGGGATTCACAGTACCCCTAAGGGAGTCCAGAGCCCTTGGCTTTCGTGATTCAGCAAGATGCACCCCCCATAAGGGTGTTTGCTTGGCAGGGGGGAGGGAACAGCAGCTGCCCGTGGACCCCCCCCTCCTCGCCTCTTCAACCTCAGGGTCCCTCCCCCGCCAGCCTGGTGCTGGGGGACACTCTGTTTTGTTGGGCAACGTTAGTCTACCCACTAACCCCTGTTGTCTTCCCTGGTCTGCGGGGGCAGTGCGGGAGGGTGTGTGCCCACTCCCTGCCGAGGCCCTGGCCCTAAATGTTGGTTTTGGCCAGGAGATATGAAACAGAAGACAGAGGCCATCCTGAAGGAGTTACAGAAGCATTTCCACGGGGAGTGGTTTGTCCACCTACAGGATCTCACGATGGTAACCCTCACAGCGTACCGTGCATAGGATGCCCAGAGGGGGCGCGTTTGCAGGGGGTGAAGGGCCTGGCTGGGGCTACCTAGGAGTAACCCCCACACAGGGGATGCCCGCAGAGTTCAAGGGCCATGCCCCTTGCTGCACTTGAGTCCATTAAAGTTTGAGGTCATCAAGAGTTTTTAAAGTAGAGGTGTAGCCAACCTATTCTCCACCCACAGATGACGCTAGTATACCCCTGTTTGTGGCCTAGCTTTGATTTTATTCATTCAGCAAAAGCCCATTGCTTGTCTTAAGTGTGGTGTCCACACGTGCAGGCAACTCCAGTCCCTCCAGCCAGAACCCAAGCAGCAGCCTTCGCTCTCGCCTGCCCCTCACTGTCCACGTCGGCCCATCCCACCTCCCACCTGGCTCTCGAATCCAGCCACTCTCGGCAACCCCACCACGGCTGTCCTGACTCAGAGACCGTCACCTGGGCCTAGGTCATGGCAGCAGCCTTTGTTGACCCCGCTGGTCCCCACCATGCTCCCCGCCACACCATTTTTTGCGCTGTAGTCACAGAATTCTTTCTAAAGTCCAAGTATCATCGTGTCACTCCCCTTCAGACTGTGCTCTGCCTCCCTGTTTCTCTCAAGTCCAGACTTCACGTAGCCCTCGAGGCCTCACTTACTCAGCTCTCCTGCCTCACCTGGTCTCAGTCCCCCTTTCCCACCTGGCCCAGGTCTCCCTTGCAGGATGCTGTAGTCAGACTGAACACCAGAGGCAGAGGCAGGGGCTTCTTGTCCCCACCCAGCCCTCAGGAACAGAGCCAGGCAGAGTGGGGATTCAGTGTAGTTGTAGTGAGTGAGCTTGGGGGACACGGGGCACCTCTCTTGTAGACGATCAGTCACCTTGCTTTGGGGTGCCCTAAACTCATTAACCACCAGAGCTCACTTCCAGTGGGACCGCCTCATTGCATTCCGAGTTCACAATAGAAATGCCTTGTCCTCCGTATGGCGTTGTCTGGACCTTTGCTCCTCCCTGGGGACTTGAGAGCTGGTGGCAGTGTGGAGCTTGGCCTCACACCATGGGACAGGGAGGTGATGGCCGGGGACCATCTCCATTGGGCCCTGGTGGCTGGCCTCGGGGTCCAGAGGCTTCGGGCTACCCCAGAGTGGCGGCCACCATGGCACAGACGGCTGCTCTTCCTACCCCAGCTCTTCAGGAAATATCTGACCCCCGAGGAGAGGGCAGATGTGATCATAGTGTCCATGGAGGCCATGGCCAACGCCCAGGGGAATGATGGCTGTGCAGCCGCCAAGATTTTACAGACGCTCCTGAAGTACTCGATGCCCGCCATCGGGAAGGTAGGCGCTCTAAGGGACCTGGTGACTCCAGGACTCCCCTCTGTTCTCCCCTTGGATTGTTCTGTCTCCTGCTGGCTGGGGTTTAGGAATCGGAATCCTTTAACTAGCCCAGACGAGAAAAGGTCAAATTAGGAGCTTTTTTGCAATTGTGAGGAAGATCCCTCCGTGGAAGGGGTGACCACCTGGCTGCCTTCTCCACTGGGAAGGGGAGAAGAATCGAGTCTTGTCACCCCACTGTATTCAGACAACATGTTAGGTCTGGGGGTGCCTTCTTCATTCCAGTGGGAGTGTGCACAGCCTGGGTCTAGGTACATGCCTCTCACATCTAGATGGAAACCTATGAGACATTGACCCAGATGGAATACAGTGCAGAGACTTCTGTCAGAGGTGGGGCTGGTTCTCAGGAAAACTAAGACAGCATAGTTGACCTTTCTCTAATTGTGTTTTCCAAGTTCAGCTGACAAACAGTATTATATGACTTTCAGGTTCGCATGCATGGGGGCCCCACCCTGTACGTTATGGGGTTATGGGACGGCTGCTGAGCTGCCAGAAAGAACCTCACTCCCTTTCCCCGACTTTAGGTGCCGGAAATTGTCCAGTACATTTACCACAATTTACACAGCATCTCTGAGACCATGGCCCAGGACACCATGAAGCAGGTCCTTCACCTGCTGGCACAGGCCTACATGGATGAGGTCATCGTGACCTTGTTTAAGCTGCAGGACCAGTCCCAAAGGTAGGCGGCCCCATCAACTGCACAGAGGGGCCCCCAGCAGGCCCCTAATTTGTTCATTCTTAGATGCATCCAATTTTTAATACAAGCCAGGCCCTTGCTTATTTGAGGTGAGGTGATTGTAAAAGTTATATAGGCTTATTGCAGAAAATTTAGAAAGCACGTAAAATCTTGAAAAATAAAAAAAATAAAATAAATCCCACCAAGGCAACCTCTGCTACCACTTGGATATAACTTTATAGTTTGTCCACCTTTTAAGAAGGGTTTTAAAAAAGGAATAGTCAAACTCACCCTTTATTTACCGATTTGCCTATTTTTTTTTCATTTAACATGTCCTCATAGCATTTTTCCCCAAGTGAAGACCCTTTTATAAACATCATTTTAATGGCTGCATAATATTATATTTATGGCTGTATCGTGCAATAATGTCCTTCTTTGAGCTTTCTTATTTTTTTATTTACATGCAGTAAAATTCACCCTTTTGTTGCAGTCAGAACCTTCACCACCAACTACACGCGAGACGCAGTGTTTCTGTCACTCCCCAGAACTCTCTCACGCTGCCCCCTGAGCCATCCCCTTCCATCCCCCGTGACCCCTGATAACCACTGACCTGGTCTCCATCCTGCGTGTTGCCTTTCCCAGAAGGCCATGCGCATGGAGTCCTATGGTGCACAGTGTCTGGCTTCTCTCATGTAGGTGGGCGGACGTATCCACAGTTCACTCATTTCACTGCTGAAAAGGGTCCCACTGTAGGATGGACCACAGTTCGTCCATCCATTCACCTTTTGGGCTGATAACACCTTTTGGTAATAATGCTGCTACCAACATTTGCGTTTAGGTTTTAGTGTGAACAGTAGCTCTCATCTTTCTTGGGATTGGATTGCTGGGCTATGTGTGTGTGTCGGGTGGTGTGTGTTTAACCTGAAGACTTTCCCGTCATGGCTGTAGCCGTCGTATTCTACCAGCCACATATGGAATGTCCCTTTGCTCCCATCCTTGTCCACACTGGGTATTGTCATAAGAAACAAACAACAACAACAAAAACCACCCATTCTAACAAGTATGCAGTGGCACCTCAGTGTGGTTTGAATCTGCATCTCCCTAGTTTGTTTGCAATGAGTGGTGTTGGCACCATTTCGTGTATTTGTTTGCCATCCATGTGTCTAAATCTCTTACCCATTTCTTTTTTTTTTTTTTAAGATTTTATTGGGGAATTGGGGAAGAGGAATAGACAAGTTGCTGTCCTTCTGTTCTTCAGTCTAGTTGTGGAGGTCATTGCTTCACTGGCCCTTGTTGGTATTATCATTGCGCTCTTCCTGCTTGAGGCAGTCGCTTGCTGGCCACTGGATGGCCACTCATGGTGGCTCTTGGCAGCTCACACCAGCTGCCGGCCACTCACAGTAGTTTATGGCAGCCCACTGCAGCCTACGCCGTCGCCGGGGACTCACAGCAGCCCAGCTCCACGTTTAGCTGTTGTTCAGCATCTTAGCTGTAGAGGGCAGTGTCACTGGCCCTCGTATGTGGGATCTGAACGGAGGCCCTGCTGCAGAGAGCTGGCGTCCCAAGCCAACTCCTAACCAACGTGCCACTCGGCCAGCCCGCCCATTTCTTAATAAGCTTGTTTGTTTTCTTTAGTGTTGAGTTTTGAGAGTTCTTTATATTGTTGAGTTTTGAGAGTCTGGATACAAGGCTTTTGTCAGATACATGATTTTCAAATGTTTCTCCCATTTTGTGGATTATCTTTTCACCCCCTTAAGAGTATCTTTTGCAGAGCCCAAGGTTTGAATTTGATGACTTCCAATTTATTGTTTTGTTCTCTCGTGGGTTGTGTCTAAGGTCACAGGTTCTCTCCCATGTTTTCCTCTTAGAAGGTTTATGGTTTTGTGTTTCATGTTCAGGCTCACGATTCCTTTTCTGTTAGTTTTTATGAAGCGTGAGGGGTGGGTGTAGGTTCACCTTGCTGCACGTGGATGTCTGATTGTCCCAGCACCGTTTGCTGAACAGACCAGCCTTTCTCCATTGAATTCCTTTTCACTTTATCAAAAATCAATTGACTATATCTGTGCCTATTTCCTCCTCCGCCTGTGTTGGTAGCTTGTGTATTTCAAGGAATTGGTCCATTTCACCTAAGTCATCATATTTGTGGCCAAGGACTGGGTCCTTGTATTCCTTTACTGCTCTTTAAAATCACTCGTAACCCCCTTTCATTACTGATACTGGTAATGCGTGTCTTCTCTCTGTCTCGGTCAGTCTGGCTGGCACCTTGTTAAGGGTTAACTGCCTTTTCTAAGAGTCAGCGCTCACCGATCTGCTCCCTGTTTCCATTCTTATCTTGATGGTCTCCTTGCTTGGATAGGCGCTGGGATGGGAGCCTGGCGCCCCTCCCCCGGAAGCATTGTGGAGCCTGTAGAGCAGCGGTTCTCAACCTTCCTAATGCTGCGGCCCCCTTAATACAGTTCCTCATGTTGTGGTGACCCCCAACCATAAAATTATTTTCGTTGCTACTCTATAACTGTAATTTTGCTACTGTTATGAATCGTAATGTAAATATCTTTTTGTTTTCCGATGGTCTTAGGCGACCCCTGTGAAAGGGTCGTTCGACCCCCAAAGGGGTCATGACCCACAGGTTGAGAACCACTGCTGTAGAGGGTCACCATGCTGGTGGGGTTCTGCCTTGGCAGGGGGGTTCGCAAGCCCTGGGGGATCCTGGCATCCTGTCCCCAAGGCTACCAAACAATCCTGGAGCACCTGCTGCAGAGGCTGACGCTACACCAGCAAGCAAGGAGCCCGGAGCCCGGCCACAGAGGGGAGATCTCTGCGCTGATCGTAAGTCGGGGTCCACAGAGTGGCTGGGGGCTGAGCGGAACCCCCTGCCGCCCTGTCCTAGGCTGTCCTGAGGTCTTTGGGCCTCTCCCTGTTCATAGCAGTGTTTAATTGAACACTCTAGAATCTTGGGGTGGGGTCGGCGGGAGGGTTTTCCAGTCGGCTATGCCTTGTTGGGACATACAGCTAGCTCCTGGTTCTCCCTGGGTGGGCTTAGGAAAGACGAGACCCCTAGCCCCACCTTAACTCTCAAGGATGGTGAGAGAATAAACCACCACCACGATGGTGAGAGCACTTTTAAACGCCAGCAGCCTGGAAATTGATTTTCCTGGCTCATACTAAGTCACCCTTCGGTTGCACTGGCAGTGTGGGTTTTGTGGGCTGAGAGTCCCAGCTGACAGGACCCACGAGGTGAAGATCAAGACCAAGCCCCCCATTGTCCCCCCTCTCCCGCCCCCAGGCCACCAGGGCCATCCACGAGCTCCTGCTGGAGCCCAGTCGGCGTATGGAGGTGCAGACCTTGTTCCCGCCGCTGCTCATGGCCCTGCTGTTCCACACCTCCTTCCTGGTGGTGGACGGGGACGCTGCCAGTGTCCAGGAACACCAGCATGTACCCGAATGGATGGACCCCGTGAGGTACCTTTGGCCTCTGGCCAGAGTTGCTGGTGACCTGGGGGCCCGCCCGCTTAGCACCCACATCCAGTCACTCCCCTGCCACCGGCTGGGCCAGGTCCCCGCTGCTGCTTCCAACGCCCTCCTCACATCCCCGCCAGGACACTGAGTATGTTCCCCACACCACATTTCACAAGCGTTAGGGGACTTTTCAGAAGATGGTTTCTTTAATCCTGGCTTCCTAGGCTGAGGCAGAGATTGTGTATCAAAGAATCAGGGAATCGACGCCACAGCCCTGGACGCATGTGTCCCCTGCCCTTCTGTGACGTTTGGGGACGTCACAGTGCTCTCGGCCTCGGTGCCACTGTTGTAAAATGTTAGCCTGTGTCTCCAAGGGCTATCCCAGCACCAGCAGATTCTCAGGGAGGTTTGGGTAGACAAGGCAGGTTGCAGTGGGGGAGCCAGGGGCACAGTGGGGGCGGTGGTGAGACGGCCTCCTGTCTGCTCTCCCCAGCTCCACCGTGGAGGCCCTGAAAACCTTGATGCAAAGCACTGGGTATGGGGACCACGTGTCCTACGTCCAGAAACTCGGGGGCTGGGAGCTGCTCACCAGTCCTGACAGACACTATGAGGGGGTCACACTGCTGGCCAGGTGAGCCTGTGCTGCATCCCATCCCGCCGGCCCTCCCCCGCGGCCCAGGCCTGGTCCTGAGCACTGCGCTCCCGTGGGCAGGGCCATGGTCACCAAGAACTGCTGGCACAACCGCCCTGTCTTCAGCTTTGTCGTCAGCATCCTCCAGGGACTGGACTACATGAACCACCTCACGGCCCTCATGTTCCTGGCCGAGGTGAGCTGGCCTTGGTGGGGTCAGTGCAAAGCTCCGGCCTCTTCACCCATCCTTCCACATCCCTGAGCACGATTCCCTCCTAACGCGTAGCAACCTAGGGTCCACGCCACGGAGGGCATGTTCCTCCTTGCCCATCATTTCAGTCTTTCTCGTCTCCTTTGCCAGCTGCTTCGGTGCCCAAATGTGGCTGCCATCGTGGACGATGCCACCGTCCGCATCCTGGCCGAAGGGTTCCAGGGCGAGGACCCCGCCACGGTGAAGTCATTGCTGCAGGTGGTGGAGACCTTCGCAAAGCATGGGAACATGGTGAGTCGGCTGGGGGCCAACGGCGTGCCCTCAGGAGGCGCTGACACTCAGGGGACGGGACAGAGGAGCTGGAGGCAGTGTCCGGTCGTAGACAGAGCTCACCCCCATGAAGCCAGTCCACTGCTCTCTCCCTCCCAAGAGAGGAAAGGGGGGTCATTTCAGAGAATAGACTGAGCCACAGGTCCCAGACCATCAGGGTCTCCAGATATTGGCATCATCCCCAGAGTGAAAAGGCAGTGGATGGGGGGCTCACGACACCGGTGGGGGCAGTGAAGGGGGACCTCCTGCATCTTCTCCTCTTTCCCACGGGGACAGATGACCCCTTGCAGGCGGCTGCCTCTGGCTGCCACCCATGTGCTGGACCAGTGAGCGTTCCAGCACGAGACAGTGGTCGCCCGTGTGACCACGGGCTCTCATGGGTGGGAGTGGGTGGAACCGGAAGGACAGACGGTTCCTTGCCAGGCGGCTCCCTGGCCTGAGCACTGAGCAGCTGTCACCCCCCAGGCCAGGCAGCTCCGCCTCCTCCAGCCCTTCGTGCTGAAATGCTGCTACTCCTTGGACGGTGACATCGTGACCAGGACGTTCCTGGTGCTGCAGTGTCTGGTGGAGCACCTCACCTGGCAGCAGTCCTCCTCCTTCCTGGTCCAGCTCACCTTCATGCTCGGGCACTTCTTCGAGGAGGTGACGTGCTCCGCGGGCTCGCTGCCCTGCGCCAGGCAGCTGCAGGATACGGGAGCTGGCGGAATTGTCTGGAAAGGCCCTTCCAGCTCAACTACGATGTCATTCTGTGGGGACTGCTGGCTCATGTCCTCTTGGATGAGGACTGCCGAGGGGGTGCAACGGGACAGTTGTGATGCTCAGAGCAGATCACATGTCGGGGAAGGGAGTGTGCCCGGGGAGGCCTGTGGTCGGGGGGCTGGAGCCTGGGGACCGCGAGTCCTGGACGACTGAGAGGATGGAGCAGAAACGTCCACCCGCCCCCCATTGCGTCTTCTCCCCCAGGAGTCAGAACACCTGCGCTCAGCTGCCTTCGCGATCTACACGACCCTCCTAGCCAAGGTCAAGAGGAGGCTTCTCATCTTCCCCTTGAAGCACCAGGTCCTCAGCTGGCTCATCCTCATTGTGCTGCACCTGCAGGACAGGGACACCGGCGTGGCTCAGGTGAGAGGCCGGCGCGGAGCGGGTCTCCGGCCCCTGTTCTCACGCTGACAGGTTGGGAAGCCGCCCTCGGAGAGTTGCAGTAAGAGGCTAGCAGTGACCCGATGATGCTCACGCGGTTTCTGCAGCTCCTGGCTCTGTCCCACGGCCACCAACACACACACCGTGGGACGCTGTGGCCATGGGGACTCCCCGGAGGAAGCCCCACCGCCTGGCACCAGTTCCTCTCCCCGGTCCGTTTCCCCCCGTGCCAGTGGCCTTCTCTCTGAGCTGCTCCCTGCACATTCCTTGGCCACTGGATGGAGACGCCCCCCGCCGACCCCGGGGCAGTGTGGTGGTGGTGGTGGGGGACCAGGACTGCTGTTTTCTGGAGTGAATGAGCCCAGGGGTGTGACCTGAAAGGTGGCTGGCTCCTTGTGTCAGGACACGGCTTCCCCAGGTCAGCCGCTAGGCCTCTGACAGGCCCGTGAGGAACGTGCTGAGCAAGTGACTGGCTAGGGACATGGTCTTTGTGGGGTGGGGCCCTCCCGGTGACCTAGCAGTGATATTCCAGACAGATCCAACCCTGATTTAGAGGAGTGAGCACCCCAGTTGAGCCATCCAGACTTTGGGGAAATGTGTTTCCAGGGAGACCATGTGTGGGGGTGGGAGGCAAGCGGGGACAGGGTGACCACACGGGGTCTCAGTTGCACACCACAGCCCCTAGAAACATCACTCAACTGTAATCTATGAAACTCTCATTAGTGGGAAAAAGGGGTGTAGGCATCGCCAAACTGCTTAGAAGTCCCCGCGCTTCTCCGAAGCCCTGGGCCCCGGGGGGGGGGCTGCGCACAGCCATCCCTCCCCAGCCCCGCTCCCGTAACTCTGCACCCTGCGCCTCCTGTCTCCCAGAACTGCCGGCAAGCCCTGTGCCACAAGGCCACCATCCTGGGCTGGTCCAGGCTCAAAGCCGTCTTTGCCGAGAAGGACATGTGGACCATCCTCAGGGCCCTGGTGAGCAGCAGCCGCCTCACCTGGCCGGGAGGGCGGGCACCCGGCGGCCCAGTGGGCGTCTTCCTGCAGCTTCTGGGGCTTGGCCTAACCTGGCGCCTCGTCCCACAGCTGGAGAAGGAGGCTGGGAAAGCGCTGTGGTTCCTGAAGCAGAGTGTGCTCCTCTTCAAGAGCCCACAGGCCCCCATCCGCCAGGCGGCCGTGTGGTTTGCAGGTACGGCTTCAGTCGGAGCCACTGTGCCCGTGTCCTGCCCTCAGCCTGAGGGCCAAGGGCGGAGGGCGAGGGGGCTGGGGGAGCTGCCTCCAGCTGCTCCCTCCCCTGTGGACGCTCCTGGCTGGGGAGGGGGGGGAGGCGACCTTCCTGGGAGGGCAGGTGGCAGGAGGTGGGTGCTGCTCTGCGGGGAAGCCCGTGGGATGGCCTCACCCCGCCCCAAGGAAAAGCATCTTCGGAGCAGAGGGGGCCTCCCTCCCTCGGAGCAGTTTGCTGAGGACCCTTCAGCAAGCAGAAGTAATTTCGACTTCATGGGGAGCCCAGACCTGAGGCTGGAGGCCACGGCCAGTTGGGAGGGAAAGACAGGCCAAAGCGGGGAAGGGTGGGTGTCGGGAAAAGGCGCAAGAGCAGGTGTTGCCAGGGTCCCTGGTCCTCTGTGGGGTCACTGAGGTGCTGTGTGCCCCCCCCCCCCAGGCCAGATCATCCAAACCCTGGACGTGGATGAGGCCAGTGAAATCGAGGAGGCACACACAGGTGAGTGGCAGCCTGGCCCCCAGGCCTCGCACCTCTGAGATGGGCTGGTGTCGGTAGGGAAGGCTCCGAGACGAGGAAAAGGTGAGCAGATGGGCTCAGGGACACGGCCCCCAGGAAGCAGGGACAAGATGGGCTGGTCTCCGGGGTGCTCAGGCGCGGGGCGCTGGCAGAGCCCTCCTGCCCCCACTTCCACTGAGCTCCAGGCCCTTCATCAGCCAGCACAGCTCCCTGAACACTTTGTAGGAGGGACACCGGCCTTGTCTCATGTAAGGGGACATGGGGGGGGTCCCAGCCCCCCTGGAGCCCCCAGGCTGCCGGGTTGTGGTCCCCATAGCTCCACCCCTCCCTCTGAGATGCGCCCTCCCCGTACCCTCCCTTCCCTCTGTCTTGCCTCAAGCACCCCAGCCCTGCCACCAGCCCTGCCACCGCAGGTCCCCATGGGCTGGCTGCCTCGGCCATAGCTCTCCGAAGTCAGAGGACTTGACTCATAGCGGCTCTCTAGGGAAGAGGGCAGAGGCAGGGAGGGGACAGTGGTGAGGACAGAAAGGGTTGGTCGTGTGTGCGCAGGACCAGGGGCAGCCGGCCCCGTGTCCCCCCAAGCCCGTGGCAGGTACGTCGTCCTGCTGTGACTGGGCAATGTGAACCCCCAGCAGGAAGTGTCCCACCCACTGGCCTGTTCCTCTCTGCACAGCCAACCACCCTGGTGAGCCCCTGGCAGGACCCTCCCCGCCAGCCCAGCGTGTCACTCTGCAGAGCACTGCCGTTTCTGTGTTCCAGCCCTGTGGTCCATGAGGGACGACCCCGACCCTATGGTCAGCTGCCTCGCCACGCAGACACTGCACGTCGTGGAAGCCAAACAGAAGCTGAGGGTTGGAACCCAGACATCTTGCTTCTGCCTCAGGAGGCCTTGACAGAGTGACCGCCACGGCTGGGACGGTGACAGCTGGGACGCGGGCCGGCTCCTGAGCCTGGACGTGTTGGAGCTGTGCCCGCAGGACCTTTAGAATAAAAGGAGACTCGTACATGTGGAGCAGGTGCTTCAGGTGCTTCCTGGGCTTTCCTGCGAGCCCGTTCTCCCCCCGGTGGGGCTGACCGCCTGCTGGGGGCGCCTCCTCTGCCCTCTCACCTGGGTCCAGGCCTCTCCCAGCCGCCCCCTTGTCCTTCTCCCCCTCGGCCGCGTGGCCTGAGGCCAGGGCACCAAGGTTCTTTGCAACATCAACTTGAGCCTCGACCCGGGAGGCAGTGCTGTTTGGACCTGAGGAACTCTAGACCCTGGTGGTACCGGGCAGGGTTCGCGGTGGTGGCAAGCGTCCCTCTGGCCAGTGTCACCTGGAGAGTGGGGCATTAGCTCGTCAAATGTCCCGGGAGACCGCTGCCCCCCGGGAACAGGGCTGCTCCGTAGAACGCGCGTGCCTGCCCCTCAGCACAGCCCGCGTGACGGCCTCAGGCCCGGACGCCGGAAACGTGGCCTGCTTCTCGGCAGAGCCAGAAGTGTCCTCCCATGCCGAGTGGAGCTGGGTGGGGCCTGCTCTCGCCTGTGGCTCCTGTCACCATCAGTCTGTCCCAGGCTGCCTGACAGTCCCCAGAGCTGCTCCCCCACTGCCACCACCCTCCCCTGCCTGCCAGGGTGTCACCTGTTACCCCTCACCTTCGCTCAGCCGGGCCCAGGCGCAGCTCTGGGAGCAGGGACAGGGCCCCAAAGTCCTAACCAGTAGGCGCCCCCCTAGCCAAAGCTGCCGTGAGTGGCTTGAAGCTGTGCCCACCGTGAGGCTGATGCCCGGGCTTGGTCCAGCTCTGTGACACTGTGTAACCCTGCAGTGCCCGGCCTCTGTCACCTGTACCCAAGTCCCCGGGAACACATTCGCCCACCCCACGCCTATGCGCCTACCTCACAGCGGGGGCTGTGCCCTCCACGGTGTTACGTCAGCCCGGGCATTGAGTCACGTGGTCACGTTTGCTAATTAGCTGCAGAGGGAGCGTGAGCACCACACGAGTGTCAGCACTGGCCAGCAGCCCTGCCCCTTGGCTGGTCTCTGAGCCCATGTCAGCAGCCACCAGCTGTCCGTAGGGGCCTTCTCAGCTGCCCCTTTCCCAGACGGCGCTGAGTGGGGGACATAAGGAGGCACACAGCACCCTCTGCTCGCTTCCTTGGCTCCAGGCGCAGTCTTGCGTGGCTGCAGGCAACGATAAAGAGATCCAGTTGTGAGAACCTGGTAGCAGCCCAAGGGCACTGGGACAGGACCCATTATAGAGGCTGTACTGACACCCCCACAAGTCACCCCCTTTGTCTTGGTCAAGCCCAGTTAATGGGCACCAGACAAGGGAGGCGACGGACCCCCGCACGGCCTTGGTCGACACGTCGGCTCCTCTGGGCCTCCGTCCTCTCGCCTGTCACCTGAGTGGGTTGGAACAAACTACCTTTTAAGGTGCCCCCCAGCCGTGACACTGAATGGCTGCTGTCGAATCCTGAGACATGCCCTTCCCTGGTGGCTGGGAAGCTGCCTCAAAACATCCTAACCTGGCCTTGTCTTCCGTGTTTGTTTTCCAAATTTTCTGTGATAAGCAGATATCACCCTTACAATCTGGGGAGGAAATATATTCCACAAAAACAGTGTCCCTTAATCCAATGTTCCTGTCTCCCCACCCCTAAGTGCCTTGGCATCAAGACACAGGGTGACCTGAATTTGGAAACACCAGCTTTTGTGGCGAACGCTCTGCGGGGGAGGGGCGGGCAAGGGGACCAGTGAGCTGGAGGCGGCTCCCGGGCCGCTCCTGACAAGTTCAACAGCTCCTGGGCCTCTGTCTGCTGGTTTCACCCACACAGCCGCCCGCTGTCACTTCCGCCAGTCAGCAGTGAGCTGTCCCAGTGGGGCATGGGTGGGGTTCCGTGGCCAAAACAACCGCCCTCAGAAGCCACCCAGCTTCTCAGGGCGGGGAAGCACCTGTGCCCGCCGGAAGGGTGTGGGGGTGAATAGTTCTGCCCACAGGTGTCCTGCCAGTGGCTCAGGGGACTCTCACTTACCAAGGCCCCTGCGTCTGAGGACAGGAAGCCTCCCACTGCATCCCGCGGTGACGTCTCCTCCAGGCTCACGGACTCACTGGCTGGACATTGTCAGCAGCCACGGGTCTAGGTAAGGAGCTGGGACCGTGTAGGTGGACCAAGCCGCCTGGTTTTATAGCTGGAAAACAAAACACAGAGGGACCCAGTTGTGACACAAAAATCAGATGGTTGGTGAGGAAGCAGTGTCTGTCCCCTGAGGCCTCTCTGCCCAGCATCTCAGGAGCCCCCAGAGTGACTGGCGGTCACCAAAGGGGACAGGACTCCCAGGCTTTGAAATTCAGCAACAATCTTACAACGCAACCCTCGAAAATGCCCTTTACTTCTCCACTCACTCCGTGTGTGGCCAGCCGGTCCTGCCACAGAAATAACCGAATGGACACCTTGGCCTAGAAAAAAGGGGTGATTTTATGGTAAGGGGATTACACCTCAGTAAAACCACTAAGAAATGTTTTCTTAAGAGTCTGACACACAAGATAACTGGAGTGAATGTCGCCCCTGGCACGAGGGCCTCAGGGTCCTCGTGAATTCTGAAGGAAACCCAAAATTACCTGGGTGTCACTGGTTCCTGAAAACGTTGGTGACAGGACTGAGTTACAATCGTGACATAGCTCAGCTTTGCAGTCGTGACTCTGTCGCCAGGGTAAAGAGCACGTGATAGGCTGTTTAGTGTGTCACTGACTTAAAGGTATTTTTATGTTAAAAATAATGGGACTTGGGGCGGCCGGTTAGCTCAGGCGGTTAGAGCGCAGGGCTCATAACGCCAAGGTTGCCGGTTCAATCCCCACATGGACTACTGAGCTGCACCCTCCACAACTAGATTGAAACTACTTGACTTGGAGCTGATGGGTCCTGGAAAAACACACTGTTCCCCAATTAAAAAAAAAAATAAATGTGACTCTGGACAAGTCCCACTGAGGCTCCTTTAAAAATAATAACAACGGGACTTATAAGCAGAGCGCAGAGGATTTTTAGGCGGGGAGGAGTGTGAGTTTTTAGAATGAAAAGCACTGACCTAGAAACGGGGTGAAGACCGGTCGGGAGCTGTCCTTCTATGTGAACTGCTGGTGCTTCTGGCTTGCCCTCCTCCGTGTCCGGGTGTCTTCCAGGCCCTGGGAAGGCGCTCGGTCATCAGACAAAGGATGTGGCTTCCGTGGCCGGCAGGCCTGGCTTCCCGCCCTGCCTCCATCCCCACCGGCTGCCATCCTGCATGAGGAACTCTCTCTCTGACTTTTGTCATTTCATCCATGAGGACGCCAGCAATCACAGGGCAGTGAAGACCCAGAGAGCAGCGTCTGAAACGGCGCCTGGCACACAGCAGGTGCTAAGCAGCACGAGTCCCTCTCTTCCAGCTGTGGTGCCTGACCCGGGGGGCAACTTATGAGTCCGGGTGGGAATGCAACACCCCACCCTGCTTCCGAACTGAGTGAGCCCGGCACACGCACAGCCCAGGAAACCCTCGTCAGGCCGGCCCAGCCCCCGAGGCCTGTCCCACCCACCCCACCTGAGAAGGGCCGCCCGCCAAAACCTGGCAGCCCCCAGGGGCCACACCACCGCAGACAATGATCATTCATTTTATTTATGACAACTTCTCAGAACACACACATCCAGCCTAGGAACAGAAATGTACAGCATGAGGCTTAAATAACTTTCATACACTATGTACAGACACGGGCAGAGGTACAAAACCTATGTACACCTTGTGCTGGCCACACGGCGGGGAGCGCGAGAGCCGGTGAGAGGCTGGGGCCTGGGCCGGGGCGAGCTGGTGGGCAGTGCCGGGCCCCAGCTCCCTTGAGGGGCCTTCTCGCACTCTCGGCTCTCCGTGAAGCACTTCCCACCTCCATGCGGGGCCCTCGGGACATGGGTTCCCAGGACTGGACTGGGGTGTCATCTGAGTGCTGGGGAGGGCGGGTGGGAGAGAACCAATGCCATAGAAGAAACAGGACTTTCCTCACACCTGGGGGGCAGAGAAGGATCTGGGAGTCAGGACAGCACGCCCGTGGGGGGCACTGGCCAGGCCCTGGCTCCTGAGTGCCAAGCCGGGACCCGTGTGACAAAGGGGTAGGCACCACAGATTTGGGCCACCCGGAGGGAAGGCGCCAGCACTGTGGCAGGACAGGCCCAGCCACACACAGAGCACGACGGTGAGCCCCAGACCACACCCCCAAGAGGCCCGAACGGTCTCTAATGGAAGACCCAGCACCTCTGACTTCCTGCAGTCGCTGCCTGAGTCCCCAACACCCTGGCTGGCATGAGAAAGTCCCAGCCACGTCTTCCCTGCAGCAGTTTTGTGCTTTCAACTGCCCTCTGCCCAAGCCTCACGGGCCCAGGTGGGCGGCAGGGCCCAAGGGAGGAAGGTTTCCTGGATTGCAGCTGCATTGAGGGTGACAGGCAGGGAGGCCATGCCCAGGTCCCCAGGTCCCTGACGGGCTGAGGGCAGTACCCTGACCACCTCCAAGGCTTTTGGGTGGGGGCACCCTTTCTCCCTCCTGGGCAACCTCCAAAGGCAACTCCAACGCGGCCTTGGGGATTCTGGCTGACCAGGAGGGGTCAGTCCCACAAACAAAAGCAAACACTGAATGCTGAGAACAGGGCCCCACACAGGACAGTGCAGAGAAGGCCCTGGGCAATGGGGTGGAGACACACTCACCGGCCAAGCAGCTTCAAAAGCATTCACAAGGGTCAGGCTCATTGGGGAGCCAGCCTGGGCTCAGGCATTGAAAGACCTGGGGTGTGGGGTTGAGAGGGTACTACTCCTGGGCCCATGGCACCCCCACATGGCCTGGCCTGCAGTGGCCCAGCCTCAGCTCTTCAGACGGGCGCAGAAAAGGAGGTGTGAGAACGAACACAGGCAAGCCCCCAAGACGGGGCTTCCTCAGCTGGACCTTGGACAGAGTCCCAGGTGCCCAGGCCACCTGCCACGAGCCCTGCCGTTGTGCTCAAGTGACAATCATTTTGTGCTTCCCACATTTAGGATGCTTGTGCGACAAGGGGTGCTGGGGGCCAGCCCCCAATTATGTACCTTGGACATCCCTAAAGGAGTGGGCAGAGAGGCCAACACTCAGGGCTCCCAAGGGACTTCAAGTTTAGAGTCAATGATACTCGCCAGGACAGCAGAGCCGGCCGGCCGTGAGGTAGCTGACCCATCAGAAACAGCAGGAAACGGGCAACGACGCCAAGCACCCCTCGCAGGCCGTGAGGTCACATCCTGTTGCGACACAGGCCAGGCAGCTACAGTCCAGTGGCTCACGGGTGAGCAGTCTGTGGTGTTTCTACAGTGTAAGCAGTCATGCAGACAACGCTTGCTTGCAGGGTGGAGCTTTCTGTTCAGGTGGGGAGCAGGGGGGGGGCGGGACTTGAGGGAGCTGTCCGGCGGCGCCCCTGGATGGTCGGAGGAAGAGGGGTTTCCAGTCTGGAAGACGGCTGTCCCAGGGGCGCTCAAGGGTGAGTCCTTCCTGTACATCTGTGCACCCAGACTTCACTGTCATATCCCGCGGGGCCACTCGCAGCAAGACCGCCTGCTCAGCCTGGGGTCAGCCTGAGCAGGAGGGGGACAGGTAGGGACAGGCCAGGCTCAGGCCGCAGCAGGTGCTTTCCCGTTTCACAGCTAAGACGGCGTCCTCTGCCCTGTGCTCCAGGCGAGTCCCACACAGAGCGGCTCCTGCATCCCGGCCAAACGGGGGAGGCGCCCAGACACACACACAGCCACGGGCGGAAGGTCCCAAGTCCCCGCGTCCTCCGAACAGAGCTGGGCTCCTGGCCCCGCACCGAGGCCAGGAGCTCAGGACCAGGTAAGTGTCGGACCAGCAGTGGACAGGCTCGGTGGGGGGTCGGAGCAGGACCCCTGAGGCCGGGTCCTGTGACTTCACAGCTGTCCCAGGAGGGGCTCCGGACAGCATCCCACGGGCTGCGTCCACAGCCCGAGGCAGAAGCTCAGTGAGTTCCCTCTTTTCCTCTCTTCTGAAAGCGGGGCCCTGCCTGCCCATCTGCCCACACTGTGTTAAGGCTTGAATGGGTCTCCTGGGTGACAGAGAAATTGCTGCAGGGGACGCCCTGCCCTGTAGGGGTGAGGGCCCGGCAACCTCACCAAGCCGCCTCCTAGTGGACAGTCCTCTGAGCTGCTTCCCACACGGCCCACACGGGGGTCTGGGGAGGGGACCCCGGCCGTAGGCTGGGGGTGGAGCGCCCTGCCTTCTGGGGGCAGCAGGTAAGAGACCCGAGTGAGAAGACACAGGTGGTGCCAGGCCCCGGGACGGATGGAGGAAGGCACTGAGGCGCCGGGCGGCCGAGAGGTCGGGGTGCACTAGGATGGCCCCTGGGGTGATGTGGGGTCCTGGGGGCATTCCCTCCTCTGCCAAACAAGCAGAGGGGTGGGCCTGAGGGCAGGTAGGGTGGGTTTCCTGTGAGTCCTGGTCCCCAAGAGCTGAGGGACCGAGCATGTGGAAGAAACTTCAAGTCAGTTTCCAGGAGGCAACAGCAAAAAATAACAATAAATAACTGAAGTGTGTCTGACCATCTACCCAAAGGAGTCTTTCTAGCAGCTGCACCTTGGCCCCATCAGAGAGGGACCCCAGGAATTGCTGGGGCAACTGGAACGGCTGTTGGTGGCCAAGGGGCTAAACGTCAGCTAGCTGCAGGGCCCAGCTGCCTACACCTGGTTTCCATGGTTACCTGAGGTTACCTTTTTGGGCTCAGAAGCAGGTGCAGTGGTCGGAGGCTGGGCCAGGGGTGTGGGGGCTGGGCTGCCTCACCTCCCCTACAGGTCCCAGCCTGGGTCACGGGCTCCAGGAAGGCCACGGCCAGCTCAGCAGGACAGATGTGGCCCAGGAGAGGAAGGACCGGGGAAGGCCCTTCAGTGTCACAGCTTAAATTCCTCCCCTACCTCTTTCTCCCCAAGAGGCAGGGGAGGGACTGGGGGACAGTGTCCTGGCAGAAAGTGAAGAAAGTGGAGGGACAGCAGGAGAGGGGCCACACCCATCACCCACGCCCTCTGTCCCCAGGGCAGCTGGCTCCATCGGCCCTTCCGTGCTGTCCCAGGCGCCGGGGGCCGAGGGTCTGGGCCATCCTGACCTCACTCCTAGGGTGGGCTGCGGGTTGACCGCCGAGCACGCCAGAGCTTCACCGTCAGGTCACTGGGGAGTGACAGAGAGTGGCCAGTCAGCGCCTGAAGCGGGCCCGGCTGGCCTCCCCCAGATTCCCAAAGTCCCCAAACGTGACCGGGACCCCCGGGGCAAGCCCTGCTTAGGACAAGGGTGGCCTGCAGGGTGGCGGACGCTGGGCCGGGGGTGGGGGGCTGTGTCTAAGGCCCGGTGGGCTTCTCAGCCTGGCCTGGCTTTGTTGTCGCTTCTGGTTTCGCTCAGGCCTGGACGCGCCCCCCCCTGCTTCCTACGGCCTGGTCCCCTCCTGGGGTCCATCCCACTGTTCATGCTCAGAGGGGCGGGCTGTGAAGGGACAGCCGGGCAAGGAGTAAAATAATATCATACCGTGAAGAAGCAGCTCAGATCGAAGTGAAGAGACAGACAGAGAGGGAGAGAGGGAGAAGGAAGGAGAGCGAGAAGGAGGGAGAGGACAGGGGACTCAGAGAGAAGGCGGGGTCAGGGCAGGGTGGTGGCACGGCCCTTTATGGCCAGGACTCTGCGAGGAAGGCAAGGAGTGAGTCCAGGAACGTAATTCCACAGCTTGACCCGGCAGTCACTGTGGGTGGGGGAGAGGCGGAAAGGCAGAGGAGACGGGAGGGGAGAGAAGGCACACAGTCGGGACAGGGAGGAAAAGAAGGGGCCCCTGTGAGTAGCTCCCCTAGGACCGAGGGCCTGGGCGTCCCCTGGACGGGGACCGGAGCTGGGGCTGGAGGGCGGTGGAGGGGTGGACGGGCTGCACGGTGACCGGGGAATGACAGCGGGGCGGAGCCTGCTGCGTGAGGGACTGGTGACCGCGGGCAAGCCCTGCTGCCCTGCCCCCAGGCCCCCTGGGAAGGCTGGCACCGCGAGCGGGCACCGTGCGGTCTGCTCCGTGAGCCTGCGGGGACACGGAGCCAGCCGGCCCCCACAGGGAGAGGGGTGGGGAGCAAACGCAGACCACTCTGCCCGGCACCCACCTGGAGGCGGTGAAGATGTGCTTGGCGTTGGTGCAGATGGCGTTGATGGGGCTGTCATGGCCCCTGATCTCCCCGATGGGCGTGAAGTTCTCCACGTTCCAGACCTTGATGACGCCAGCCCGACAGGCACTCAGCAGCATGGGGCGGCCGGGGACAAAGGCCAGGGCGCACACCCAGTCCTTGTGTGCATTGGGGATTTGCTGCAGGAGGGGAAGGTAGGTGAGGGCTGGGGCCGGGGACGCAGGGAGAGGACCCTGCACACGCCAGGCTGCTGGTCAACAGGCACCACGGGTCCAGGGGCCAGGGCACTGGCCGTGTGGGGACTGCTGGGCCCAGGGACGGGTCCTTCGGCCCCTCCCAGGCTCAAACCAAAGGAGCTACTCTGGAGGAGGGCCTTTCCGCCCTCACGGGGTCAGAGGGAAAGAAAAGCTCCAGGAAAGGCAGCAGGAACGTGGCTTCGCGGGCAAGCTGGGGCTGCAGGGGTGCGCAGGGGAGAGGGCGGAGGGCGGGCGGGGTGGGGGGCTGGCCTGGGCACCCCGCCCCCACCCCGCCCACCCAGCGGCACCTGGATGAGCTCCTGTTGCTCCAGGTCCCATTTCTTGATGCCGTTATCGCGGGAGCCGCTGAACAGGACGTCTCCGTGGATGGCCAGACACTCGATACCGTCATAGTGCGGGGGCTCGAAGTTGTGGGTGGGGCTGATGGTGCCCGCCACGCACTCACCCAGCTCAAACATCTGGGGGAGGGAGGGCGGTGAGGCCCAGGGGCTGCCTCCGGGTGCGGCGCGTGGCCCAGGGGCCGGCAGGCCCACTCGTCCGGCCCAGCCTGGTGCAGCCTAGCTGCCCTTGGGGAGAGGGGCTTCCCCCAGGCCAGGGCTGCTGTGGGGGGGACCGAGGACCCTGACGGCCAAGGCCCGACCCTTCCCAGCGGCTGGGGAGGCTGACGCCGCTAATGCAGGCAGCTGCTGTGCAGAAAGGCAGGCAGGGGTGTGTGTCTCCCTTCAGAACTTTTTATCTTCAATAAACTAAACACAACATGACTCGTACTTTAAATACAGCGCGCAGCACCGTTCCACACCCTCCATCCTTTGAAACACCGCTTCCCGGTGTCAACGCCGCATTCCGGGAGCGAGCAAAGGCAGCGCTGTTAGGGACCCTGCGTGTCCCCTTCCCCACTCGGCGCCGGTCCCTGGGGCTCCCCTGACGGACGTGACTGTTCCTGGGCTCTTAGCCATTTAGGGTGTTTCTCACTTTTCACCATTGACAAAATGACGCCACGACCTTTGCCTTCTGCATGTGGCGTCCGGCCCCTTTGGGGTGATTTCGTCACACCAATCCCCAGAAGTCTCTATTTCCCATGAGAGCTCCCCAGGCAACGGGGGGGGGGGACGTGAGGGGAGCGGGAGAAGCCCCGAGAACGGTCCCCCCAGGCCTCGGGGCCACGGCGTTCCAGGTACCTTGACGTAGTGGTCCTTGGAGCCGGTCACCACCAGGTCGTGCTGGCTGGCGGTCTGGGTGACCGTCAGGCACATCACAGGGCCGATGTGGCCGGTCAGCTTGCCAATGGGCTGGAACCTATGGTGGGAGAGGCCCAGCCAAGGCCAGGAGGATCAGGGGGACCCCGGGTTGGGGAGGGGTCTGCCCTGGGGTGAATGTGCCTGGCGGGGTCCTGCCCTCCCCTCAAGAAGGAAACTGGAGAGAGCTGCCCGTGCCCCAGAGGCCTCGGAGGACACAGGGGACAGAGCTGCCCCCTCCCTCAGCCACGCCAAAGCCCCCCACCTGCTGAGCTCCCAGATGCGAACAGCGTTGCCCGAGGCGGCATACAGCATGTTGCCCGAGGGGCTGAGTGCGATCTGGTTGATTTGGTGTTCCCCCTGAGCACTGGTGATGGCGCGGGTGGATGTGGCCGCACAGGCGTCACCTGAGATCACCTGGCCTGAGGACCTGCAATGAGGAAGAGAGGCACAGGCCAGGGAGCCCGTCAGGCTGCGCTCAGCCAGCCCAGGGCCCGCTTCTTTCAGGAAGCCTTCCCTGACTGACGGGCAGGAACAGAGTTCTCCTGCAGCTTTCTGGCCCGACAGGGTGAACAAGGGCCAGGCTCCGCCCACCTTCAGCGGAGGACACGCCCCGTCCCTGACCGGCAGTCCACCTGAGCCGCGCGGCTGGGGACACCGACCGAGTCAGGGTCCTGGGTTTGAACCCAGGGCTTGTGGAAACCAGTTCCTCCTCTGTAAAAAGGGGTGATCACAGCCTTCCTGCTTACTCTGCGTTTGTTTGCTTTTTAAAGACTATTTTTTTTAGAGCAGTTTCAGGTTCGCAGCAAAACTAAGCAGCAAGCACAGAGAAGTGACATAGGCCCCCTGCCCTCCCACCACTGTCAACACCCCCACCGGAGGGCACATTTGTCACAGCTGATGAACCTGCATCGACACATCAGCGTCACCCAGAGCCCACAGCTGACCCAGGGTCACTCGGCACCGCGTGCTCTGTGGGTCTGGACAAATGTGCACCAACGCGCTCAGCATTGCAGCGCCACACAGAGGAGTCTCGCTGCCCTCAACATCCCGTTTACTCTTTTTTAAGAATCAAAGTGAAGGACAGATTATAGCTGACAATGTGAACCAGAAGAAAGCATGGCTGTGGCTAAGAAGCAACGTCCCAGGGCAGGCCCTGTGCTCAGCTCCGCCCCCGCCTGTGTCTGCAGCCTGGCGGCCAGGCCCTGGCCGCAGGACCACGTTGGCAGCTCACCTATGCAGGCAGGTGGCCCGCAGGCCTGCCGGTCTCACCCTGTCCCCAGCTCCTCTCTCACACTCACAGCACAGCTCTGGGGCAGGATCTGGGGGACTAGCCAGGCCAAGGGCTCCACCAAGCTGCTGCCCCAGACACAGCCCCCTGCTGGGCTGGGCCCTGGCGGCCAGCACCCCCCCGTCCCGTGGGAGCCAGGTGTGGGGCACTTACGTGAGGGTCCGAATGCACTTGGCCGAGTCACGGATGTCCCAGACCTTGATGTAGGAGGCGGACACGGAGAACACGAGCCCCGAGTGGCTGCAGTACTTGATGGAGACCACGTTGTTGGGGTGGCCCTTCAGAGCCGCGATCTCCTGCCCGGTGACCAAGTTCCACATCTTACAACTTCGGTCTGCGAGAGACGGACGGAGTGAGCCACAGGCAGGGGACAGGACAGATGTCGGCACCAGGGACCGCTGGCCCCAGGCCGAGGGGGCTGGGCCCGAGAGAGCTGGGGGAAGGGGCTCCAGGTCTGAGGGGGGAGAAGGACCTGCTCATGTGGTGACAACTCAGAGAGAAGGGGTCAGACGTTAGACCAGCGCTTCTCAAGGAAACCCCTACGAGGCAGGTGGACCTCTGTGAGCACGGACAAGGCGACCTGGGCTCGAGTTCAATGCTGCCGCCTTCCCCCAGCTGCTAACAGCTGACATTGCTAAGGGAGACGTGGCAAGCGAGTGTTGTGAGAAAAAGCTGGACTCAGTCATCATGGCAAGACTGAGAGAGAGACATTCTCGTCTCCACCAGCACGTGTTCTTTCTGCCGGTAAAAGTTTTCCGATTTTGTTGTGAGTCAGTAACTGTGAGTGTGTGGAGTCCTGCGGCCGAGATCACAGAGGGTTAGTGCTGGGGGTGTCGGGGTGCTGGTTTTGGGAGACCAGGATTAGCAGAGGAGGGAGGCCCCCGAGAAGCTTCCTGGAGTTTCTGAGGGAGGCTGGGGAGGAAGTGCTGGACGGAGCCACCAGGGTGGGCTGTGAGGGGCGGCAGGGCTGGGGAGGGGAGACAAGGCCGTGAGCGGCCCAGCTCCATGTCCTCGGGTCCTGGGGGTGCTGTGCTCCCCTCCTCACAGCCCACTCTGGTGAGGGAAGCCGGATGGGCGGGAGACCCGACCCCTACCTGGCCGGGCTGAGTCCCACCCACCTTTGGACCCTGTGAACAGCAGCTCGTCCGTGGCGTCCAGGCAGAGGATGGGCTTGGTGTGGCCCTCGGCCATGGAGACGCACTGCAGCGGGGCCGTCCGCACACTCTTAGCTCCTCCAACAGGCGTGATGATGCCCCTTCCGGGAGAGAGACAGAGAGAGGGTGCCCGTCAGCCCAGGAGACAGCGCCAGGCTGAGCGAGGCTCACAAGGAGATGAGAGCAGGGCAGAGAGGGGACTACGGCCTGATGAAGGGGAGTCCAGAGATGCCAGCCCAATGCCACCAGGCCTGAGAGCCAGGAAGAGGGAGCACAGACGGATGGGGGGGGGCCTGTCTCCCCCAGCCAGTGGTCAGTCGCCGCGGGAGTGAGCCCTGCCCAGGCCAGGTGGAAGCAGCAGGGGACACAGGCCCTGCCCACAGGGAGCTGCTCTCTGGTGCCTGCTGACACGGATCTGAGACGTAAAGGCCCGGGCCGAGCTGGGCAGCGCGGGGGCCTAAGGGCTGGCACGGCTCCTGCAGCTTCACTTAACCAGGTGAGGTGGGGGGTGCAGCGGGAGTGCGTTCAGGCCCAGCACATCCATCTGCCTGCCAGTGACTGCTTCTGGGACGGGCACCCCCACGCAGAGGGACCCCTGCACCCATGTGCACCCCCCACCCACACACCCACAGCCGCTTTGGACCAGCGTGGTCAGACCTGGGCCAAATCCCCCCAGGGCCTCCGGCCTAGCTCTGGGTAGAGGGGGCCTGGGGTCCCTCTGTGGGCCTGGCACAGCCCCTCCTGGCCCCCACAACCACCCCAGGAGAGAGCGGGGACGAGGCCCTCCCTGAGTAAGTGTAAGGAGTTTGCTCCATCAGCCTCCTGGAGGTTCTGGTGGGTTTTTCTCAGGGATGGTCTTTTGGCCTGAGGCCCTGGCTGCACGTTATGTGTGGGTCTGAAAATACATTCTAGCTCCTTCCTCGAAGAATGCCGCTCCTGACAGTGACACTGTGGCCGAGTAAGCTGCCAGGCCTACCCAGGAGGATGGCTATCAGACAGAGTCCCACACACACGATCGCCTCCCCCGCCCACCGTGGCCCCAGTTGCCCACCGATGACCCTGGTCTGGCCCGGCTGTGTGGCCGGGGAAGGAGGCTGAGACTGCTACGGGCAGTGAGTTAAAGGCCGACCCTCCTCCGTGAGAGAGGCCGGGGGGCTGGCTGACCCTGTGCCGTTCAAGCCTTGCCCCCCTGCAGGAGCGTACAGGACGGTCAACCTCCAGGCGGAGGCACGGTGACGGTGACGGCGCAGGAGCGGTCAGCTCAGGTGTGGCCCTTGGCTCAGGCCACCAGGGCCTGGGACATACCTCTCGGGGTGGGGTGCTGTACCTGGTCGGCTGAGGGGAGAGGGGTCTCCTGGCACGGCTGGTCTGTGTGCCAGGAGATACGGGTGGGACAGAGCTAAGTCTGAAGAGTTCACCCATAGCACAAACCGAGCAAGTCACAAGGACCCTGAGCACAGCCACCGACACCCCTCAGCAGACCTTAGCCAGCCCCAGTCACGCCCAGGCTCCATGCTCTGCACCCCGAAACAGGTGAGAAGAGGACAAGGCCTTTGACAAGCAGCAGCCCCAAGAGGGTAGGAAGGGGCCTCAGAGGGACCTCGGGGGGGGGGGTGCATGCAGAGGACGGGTGTGCAGCAGGAGGGGCTGAGGAGAGGGGGGAGAGGGAGAGACAGCGAGCAAGCGCTGGGGACAAACGCGAGAGACATCTGTGTGTACCTCAGGACCTCGGACAAAGAGGAGTCGCTGTCATCAGACCTGGGGGGCAGAAAATTAGCGGGTTAGGGGGACGGAGAACACATGGGGGACAGAGAACGGCAGCAGAGGGAGGTGAGAAGGTGGGTTATTCTCTTCGAAGGGAGCAGAGAGAGGCAGAAGGATGAGGGTACTGAGAGAGAGCAGGGCAGGACGCGGGGACAGGCTGGCCTGGGAGCTGGGGATGCCCCTCGGTGAAAGGGGAGCAGTGAGGAGGGGGCCACGGGAGATGTGGGGGCACCAGCCCCGCACTGGGGAGACCGTGCCTGGGCTGTTTGCTGGTCCCATCACACACGCTGGGGGCACCCCTCCCCCACCGGGCAATGCTGAGACCTGCCAAGGCCACGGCAGCCATGCCTGCTTCTCCCGCCCCTGAGAGCTGGCCACTTCCAGCAACTCCCCAGGGACCGCCTTATTTACAGAGCCCACTGCCCCCAGTGAGCACACTGGGATGTGCCTCGGAGCTGGCTCTGCACCACTCATGGGCCCCAAGACCGAGAACACTGCACAGGACCAAGGTCTGGACGACCGCCAGGCTGGGATGGCCAGCCCAGCGTCCCACCCCGCTGCTTCCAGAAAAGGGGCCTGTGGGCGGTACAGGAATGGACGGAGCGCCCTGGGTGGCCTGGGCCATGCTTAGTGTGCTCCTGCATCGGGGACCTAAGCCAAGGAAGGCCTGGGGACCCAGGGAGGGCATTTCTGTGGGGAGGGCTGACGTCAGGCGCCAGGTGGACAACAGCACCGTCCCTCCCTCCCAGGGGAGAGAAGCTTCTAGGGGCTGGGAGAGTTGGAGAGGCCAGGGCGGGGCCGGCAGTGCAGGGAGCCCCATTCCCCAAGTGGAGCCCCGTGAGGGACACACGCCAGTGTGGGTCAGAGCGCCAGGTTCTGCGCCCTGCTCAGCCGCTTTCTAGGTGAATGCCCTCGGCCCCTCGCGGAGCCTCACTTCCTCTTCTGTAGAGGAGGGAAGACAGTTCTCGCGGCTGATTTACAGCGCCGATGAAGGTGTCACGTGAGGCTGCCTCTAGCCTCTTACGTGTGGGGCTGGCACTAAGGGCTGTACACATGGGTGAGCCGGCCCGGCCACCTGCAGGTAAGCAGGGGTCTCTTCCTGCTGGGATAGTGCCCGGGGCCCCGCCTGAGCACTTGTGGTGGGGAAGGGCCTGCATGACACTGGAGGAAGGGGCTTCCGAGAATCAAGGCATCAGCCGAGGAGTCCAGGGCCGTTCTGGGGAGCCTCTGGGGTGCCCGGCTGCCCCCGGCCTGCCCGTGGCCATGACCAGCCCGCAGGCTTCCCCTGGCAGCGCCCTCCCCAGCCACCTGGCTCTTACTTGTCCAGTGCTGACCCTTGGTTCTGATTGCTGGTGAGACGGGAGAACACGTTCCGATCGTTGCGTGGCCGAGTGGGAGGGGACGAGGGGGGCGTGAATCCGTCTGTGGACCTGGCGAGTAGGGACAGAGAGCGGCATCTGTTAGTGACCGCACCCCGGCCCAGACCCCAGCTCCCCATTTAGCTCCAGGAGCTGACCTCACAGTCCGTCCTCACGCGTGGATTCTGTGGCTGTGAGTTCACCTACTCATTAAAGTGCCTGCAACCCCAAGTAATACTCGCAGTGCTTTTGTGGTCGCTGGCGGACGTGAGGACAGCAGAGTCCCCACACGCTCACGTTCCCGCCCGAGGTCGACAAGGCGACCTTTGCCTGTGGCTTCAGCTCTTGCACTGCCTACACGTGGCCTTCCATGGTCTACTTGGAGCCACGTTTTCAGCGTTTCTGGGCTTTTTGTTGGTGGCCTCACTGTTTAAAATGGCCCCACGGGTGGCACTGAGGCCCTGTCTGATGTTCCTGAGCTCATGGAGGCTGAAACAGGCCTCATGGAGAAAGCACGCATGTTCAAGAAGCTTTGTTCATGCATGGCCTGCAGTGCGGCCAGCCGCGAATCAACGATGTGTGTATCAATAAGGTGTCCTTAAACAGAAACAAAACCAGGCTGCGTATAGATCGGCTGATGAAAATGATGTGACCGGAGGCCCCGGAATGTCACCCTGTGTTTCCCCGGGAATGATGGCTCTGTCACTCGGTCAACGTCTAGGGTAACTTTATCGGACGGAGCTACTGCAATAATGAGAACCAACCGCATCCCCAGGGAGTCTGAGGCCCCACTGCACGGCCCTTCCTGATACCCCAAGGCCCCCTCTTCGGAAAGTTGTTCTTGGTCCCACCTAAGTCCCCTCCCTTTGGAGAGTCATCACAAGTTCAGCCAAACTCCCTCAGGCTGATCTGCTGTGCCGTCTCAGAGCTCAGGGGCAGGTGATGGTGTGTGAGTCCAAGGGCACCGGTCTCCATGCAGCTTCCCCACCTACGGCCCCCTCTGCGAGCCCCCAGGCTGGGCATCTGCTGGCGCTTCAGCCAGTCCTCCGAGAGAGCAACCTGAGCCCCTGCTGTCCCACTCCTTAGCTTGTGACCTGGGGGAGGCCACCAAACATCTCTGAACATTCGGTGCAGTGACTGGTGACCCTGGAAGGCAGAAGCTTCGCGGGGCCTGGCCCACGAGAGGCCGGGCTGCTGGAGACGTCACACTGCCCTGCAGCCATCTCTCTGCGTTGTCTTTAAACCTCTCCACTGCTCTTACATGACAGACCTTAACAGGGGCTGAGGCACATCTGTACAATGACAGCCCAGGCCGCGAAACAAGCCTCCAACACTGAGTGCATGTCGGCCGATCGGTTTTAGCCGTGGGCTTGGCCACCAGTCCCAGGTGCTTATGGAGATGGCGCGTGCTGAGCCCACACTGGGCAGGGCGGGGAAGGGGCCGTGGGGGAAGCCGGGTGACACCGCTAAAGGCTGGACGGGCAGCGGCTGTGGGGCACGCTCTCACCTAGCAGGCTGCCCCCGGTCGTAGGACTTCCTTCGGGTCAGAGGCGTGTCACTGCCTCGGGACTGCCGGGGGCTGCAACACAAGGGTCCAGTGAGGCGCAGATCGGCTCCCCGCCCACCCTGACCGGCCGCCTGGCACCCTTCTTACAAAGTGCTCCCTTTGGTGGGCAGGCTGATGGTGCGTGAGACCCTGTCCCGGTAGTAGGGGTCTCGGATGGAGAAGCCCACCCCGTCCTCTTTGATCTCCACCAAGGAGGCCAGGGACTTGGTAATGTTCTTGGTGGACATGTCCAGCGGGGGCCCCAGACACTCGGCCGACACAGCCTTCATCTGGGCAGACAGCTTGGGTTCGCCCTGGGGAAGGAAAGACAGGGGTGGACCAAGTTGCCCGCACGGGATGGCACGATAAAAAAAAAAAGCCATGGGAGTGGAGAAGGGTGCAGCCTTGGCCTAAGTAAGGTAGGACCCAGCAGTCATCACCCAGAGCCCATCTGTCAAGGCTGCTGGAGAACCCCAAGCAACGGAAATGGATTTCCCACCCTTATTTGGACGACGCAAACAGCACGCCCACACCGGCCTCTGGGCCGCTCACCAGCTGATCCGTTTACCCAGAATTGTGCACAACTCATCGTCCCCAGTCCGCAGGGCTTCCCCCCTTCTCTCTTTAATATTATAAATCCCGTTTCTTGGTTCAGCCTACTAACTGAGCCCTCGCTGGCTAGACCCCCGTTGCTGGCCCCATCCTGGTGATCGACAGTCTATATGAACAATAACTAGAGATCTAGAGTCAGTCTGTGGCTCAGAGCAAGCAGCAGGCAGAGTCTGGGGTGGGGGAGGAGGTTTTGAATGTGGGGCCTCTGGCGTTACACAGCTGGGCACACCCCAGTTCCAGGCCCGCTCCTTCTTGGACCTCCATCCCAGTTGGAGGTGACATTGGGCCAGGATGGGGGTGAAGGCAAAGCCACGGGAAGGTGGGGACCAGGCTTGGGGAGCCCACCCCCACGGAGCCTGGTCTGCCTCCCGATGGGACTCACCTTGAACTTGAAATCATCGTGGCTGGTGGAGCCTTTCATGGCGTACGACTGGGAGAAGCTAAGGAAGAAGCAGAGGGGGTTCAGGACCCCGAGAGCCTGTGCCCCAGTGCTCTGGGCCCCAAAGAGCCCCCAGTCCAGGCTCAGCCCCGGCCCCAGGGACACACTGAGCCAGCCTCGCACTCCCAGCGTGGGGGCTCACCTCCCCTCAGAGAACTCCGACACCTCCTCATCTGTGCTGGCGTAGCCGTTCTCTGCAACGGAGGGAGGGCAGCGTGTGAGGCCCACAGTGAGGCCTCCCTCCCAAATCTCACCCACTAGGATCACACTGGGCCTCTGGGGGAGCTTTGGGGAAGGGGGGCGCCAGGCGGGAGCCCGGGGCCTGGGTGCCCTGCGTACCCTGCTGCACGTTGCAGATGAGGGCCTGCAGTTCGGGGCGCGCCTCGGCCTTCTCGCGCAGGGCGTCCAGCAGCACGGGGTTCTGGGAGGAGCTCGCTAAGTCCGTCTGCTTCAGCCGCCCCTCCAGCAGCCGGATCTGTGCCTCCTTCTGTGCCACCTGCAGCCCCTGTGGGCAGGGAGCAAGGCCTGAGGTGACCCTTCCTGGCCTAGGGCTGTGGGCACCCCTGCCACTGCCCTCACACTGGTGACCTGCTCCCAGTGAGACACCTTGAAGGGCCCCCCATAATTCCTGGTGCCTGTCACTGACCTGAGAGGCACCCCCGGCCCCCTTGATGCCATTGGATATCTCCTTGGGACATACTCCCTGTTATGGGCTGAACTGTGTCCCCCGAAATTCATATATGGATCCCATAGCCCCCAGTACCTCAGAATGTGACTACTGTATTTGGAGATGGGATTTTTTAAAGAGCTAATTAAGTGAAAATGGGGTCTTTAGGGTACCCTAATCCATATGACTGGTGTCCTTATAGGAAAAGACTAGGACACAGACACGCAGAGGGATGACCAGGTGAAGGGAGAAGGTGGCTGTCTACAAGCCAAGCACAGAGGCCTCAGAGCGAGCCGACGCTGCCCACAGCTCGGACACCCAGCCTCCAGAGCTGTCCTGGAATAGATGTCTGTTCCGTAGGCCACCCAGCGGGTGGCACTTCGCCATGGCAGCCTGAGCTAACACACTCCCCGAAGACACAAAGGAGAGCTGAGAGCTCCCTGGGGACTGGTGAGGAGTCTAGGGGGGCAGGCTCCCTGCCCTCCCCAGAGCTGCCGTGCACGGGTGCCTGTCCCCACAGCCCCGGGGGGCGGGGAGGAAGCACATCCTCTGGCCAGCTCTCTGGCCACACCAAGGGACGCCTGATATCCTGGCATAAACCGTCCTGGGTCCGTCTGCCGGCCTCCCGCGGCCCCACGCAGGCACACGCACACTCCCCGCCACCTCCAGCAGACTCAGGCCCAGCCCTGCTCCGGATGGGCCTGGGCCAGCAGTAGGGTCACGTTAACGGAGGCCCTGCTGTGAGCTGGGCGTCCCGCCAAGCCCCTCGCATGTGTCATCTCGTTAAAGCCACGCAGCAAGCCGCAGGTTTCGTATGTCATCACCCCAGCTTTACAGCCTGGAACCAGGGCCCCGGAGGCGCGGCGGCTCGCCAGAGCCTGTCAGTGACGCGCGTGGGAGGAGACACCAGGCCTGTCGATCACAGAGGCAGCGGTTCCCTGGGGGAGGGGGGGACCCCCCACCCAGCAGGAGCGCCGCCCACCTTGTCGATGGACGCCTTGAGGAAGTTGTCCAGCAGGAGGCGGGCTTCTGCCAGGGAGCAGGAGCTGATGACCACCGACGTGTCCGTGGAGTCCAGCTCCTCCTGGAACCGGGAGGCAGAGGCCCGTGGTCACCAGGGCTGCCCCCACCCACGCCCCGCCGCGGCCTCCGGCCCGCCCGCCCCACAGGCACCTTGGTCTCCTCCAGCTGCACGATGGTGGCCTGGCAGTCGGAGATGCTGTCGTTGATGTAGTCGATGTTGGCGGCCAGCGCCTCGATCTCCTCCGCCAGCTCCTGCAGCCCCTTCTCCTCCTCCGGGCTCTCGGCCTGCAGCCGCTCCCGCTTCCGCCGCAGCGCCTCCTGCAGGACGAACAGCTCCTCCCTTTTCTGGGGGGGGGCGGGGGGGGGCGGAGGCCTCAGGGAGCTGTCCAGCGCGGTCCACAGCTCTCCCCGAGGCCCGGCCTCTTGGGGTTCCCCCCCAGCACCTCCGGATTGCAGAGCAGGCGCAAGAAGCAGGGGAGGGGGGACCAGGGGAGGTCGGAGCGGTCGGCAGGGACCGCGCGCAGTGGCAGCAGACCTCGGGGGGGCGCAGACCCGGCAGCGCGGAGGCCGGCGCCCACCTTGATGAGCCTCTCCATGTCGGCCTCCAGGTTGACGATGGTCATCCTCTGCATGACGATGTCAATGATCCTCCTCTCCAGGGACTGCCACTTGAGCCGCGCGGCCTTGCTGAAGCTCTGGCTGGCCCCCTTCTTCAGGAACTTCTTTCTGGAGACAGAGGCAAAGGGGGGCTTGGACGGGGCCCCTCTCAAGCTCCGCGGCCGCGCCGAGGCCCCGCCGGAGCTGGCAGCCCCACCCCAGGGCCACGCTTTCCCCGGGACTGGCCTCTGCCTGGCCCTGCCCCAGATTTCCAGGCCCTGGTACTGCCCGTCCGTCTCACCTGGCAGGGCGGGTGCTATGGACAGTGGACGTGGGGTGGTCCCCCAAGAAATGGTTGATCTTGCGGTTCCATTGGTGCACAATGCTAGAGACAGAACGGGCCCCCGATTCAGCCTCCGACGACGTGGTGCTGGCCGACACCTCGGCCCCCGAGTCCAGCATGGACGGCTTCAGCGCCACGCGCCCCGCCACCCGCTCAGACATAGGCTTGGCCAGACGCCTCAGTGCAGAAACCTGGGGGCCAAGAAGGACCCAGTGAGCAGGGTACCCCAGAACCCAGAAAACACCCAGGTTGTGGGGGGTGCCAGGCAGGGAGAATCTAGGCCCACTCCATCCTGGCCTGGGTTTGGGACTGAGAAAGGGCCAAGGGGCCTCTGTTTGATGCAAAATGAACACAAAAGAGACCCGCCTCTTTTTAACAATGAACATCTCGGGCATGTGGGACCAGAGCCTGCAGTCTGCCCCCCTGACGGGCGTCACCCCAGGTCAGCACCTGTGTCTGCTGAGGGAAAGGAGACAGCCAGGCCACCGCAGCTGGTTCTCCCAGCTCTGGCACAGTCAGGAGAAGGGGGCTGCGTCGGGGGGCTGCACTCACCTCCTGGGTTTTCCGCCTCAGGACCAGCTCCTGCTGCCGCTTCTGGGACTCCAGAGCTCGGATCTGGAACTGCGGGTGAGAGAGGAGGTGGGGTCCACACTCAGGGCTGGGGCGCGGAGGTGAGAGCCTGGCTTCTGACAAAACGGGCCCCAGAGCTTTGCCCGGTCCCAGAGGTTACAGCAGGCCCCTTTCGCCACAGGGCGATTCTCTTGGTCTCTCCTCCCCACCACGGGCAACGAATCCTGGACTAGGGGGCTTGTCTGGAAGCTGCACAGTCCTGGCTGTGCTCGCTGGTGACCTCGGGCAAGTCCCTGCCCCTGGCTGGGGCCGTCTCTCCTCTGAACAACATGGGGCTGGACTGAAAGTCTGCAAGGGTCTGGCCCTCCCGGGCCGGGCCCGAGGGCTTGGAGAACCTCAGGGCCCCCTCTCACCTCCTGTCGCCGCTGTTCCTTCTTCAGCTGCGCGATCTCCCGGTTCCTCTTGGTCTCCACCAGCCGTCGCCGCTGCTGCTCCTCACGCATCTGCTTCATCAGGGCAACCTGAAACGGCACAGGGACAACGGTAAGGCAGGGCTGGGCAGGTGGCCCGCACGCTGCAGGGAGTGGAGCTCTGAGGATGCTGAGTGAGTGGGGCTGAGTGGGTGGGAGGCCTGCAGGCAGCACTCAGGGTCTGGTTGAGGGTCTGCCCCTGTCCTGGGTGACTGGCCAATACAAAGGAGTGGCCTTACTGCCAACCCAGCCGTGTCGTAGGTATGAGCACGCTGTGGTCCAACCCTGGCCCCCACTGCTCCGAACGTCACAGCCCCTGGTGGCCTTCACCCAAAGCCACTGTCCTGGGTCTGGCAATTCTAGGACCAGCCCAGGTTGCTGGAGGCAAGTGGCAGGGTGGAGGGGAGGGGGGAGCAGCTCCAAGGCCAGGCTTGTGGTGACAACAGTGACACCAGCAGCGTTTATCCAGGCTGTGCTGCACACCAGGCACTGGCCTCGTGACAATCCCGAGACAGGCGTTATCACTCCCGTTTTATAAACAAGGAAATGAGCTCATATAACCAAGTAAATATAATTAATAACATATTATTGTTGTATATGATACTAATTATCACAGGCAGAGGCTGAACAACTGAGAGGCTTCACATACACCGTTGACCCTTGAACAACACAGGGGTCAGGGTGCGGACCCCTGGCTCAGGTTAAAATCTGTATATAACTTCTGACTCCCCAAAAATGTAGCTACTAATAGCCTACTAGTCACCAGGAGCCTTACTAATAACATACGCAGTCGATTAACACATATTTTGTGTGTTATATGTATTATATGTTGTATTCTTACAATAGCATAAACTAGAGAAAAGAAAATGTTATTAAGAAAATCCTAAGGAAGAGAAAACACATTTACAGTATTTATTGAAAACCATCTGTGTATAAGTGGACCACGCATTTGGAACCGTGTTTTTGGAGGGTAAGTGATACTCGGTGCAGAGGCAACAGTGACAGAGCTTCCCACAAGGGCGGTGTCAAGTGGGGTCCCCTGGAGACCCTGGCCTGCCCCTCTCCTGGGGGAAGGTGCTTTCACCCTGGACAAGCACCCCAGGGCCCTGCCAGGGCCGACCCAGGCGGTGTTGTGCAGAGCTCACCCACACAGACAGCATGACTAACCCGGTAAGCGGGCTCTCAGCCCGCACCCCTCGGCCAGCCCTGGGCCTGCCCGCCAGGCCCTCGGCGCCTACCTTGGCCTTCTTCATCTCAGCCACCTCGGCCTGCAACTTCTTCAGCTCCCTCTCGTAGCGTGACTGGTTCTTGAGCAGCCGCGCGTGCTCCTTCTGGGCGGCCTGCAGCTTCTGCAGGTCACGGTGCATCTCCCGCAGCCGCTTCTCATAGTCAGCCTTGATCTTGTTGGCCTTCTCCTCCGTGTAGCACTCCATGGTGCCTGAGGGCAGCGAGTGGGGGAGAGGGAGAGAGAGGCGCTGTTGGCCACGCCCCCACAAACCCCCACGGCTGGGGGCTCAGACGGGAGGGGGCGGGCCTGGGTCCTAGTCTCCCGGCTGGACCTTGGAGAGGTCGCACCCCTCTCTGCACCTCCTTCTAGAGCAGCGGTTCTCAACCTTCCTAATGCCGCGGCCCCCTTAATACAGTTCCTCATGTTGTGGTGACCCCCAACCATAAAATTATTTTCGTTGCTACTGTTATGAATCGTAATGTAAATATCTTTTTGTTTTCCGATGGTCTTAGGCGACCCCTGTGAAAGGGTCGTTTGACCCCCAGGTTGAGAACCGCTGGTCTAGATTTACACGGCAAGGGGATCATGGTGGAAGCTGTCCAAGGCCCTTCCCGAATGCATTCTTACAACAGGGATCCTTACAAGTCTCCTAACGGGCCTCAGGTTCCACGGGCGTTCCCCTACACAGCAGCCAGAGCGATCTTTTCAAAATGCCTTTAAAATTTACGTCGCATCCCTGTCTCAAAAGTCCACCCCTTCCCACCGCCTTTAGGGGACAAGGCAACGTCCTTACCATGACCTGGTCCCACTTTCTCCGCTCTCCTCTCTTGCTACTGTCCCCTTAGGCCACGCTGCAGCCATTTGCCCCCCTTGTCATCCCGCCAACACGTCAGGCACGTGCCTGCCTCAGGGCTTCGCATCTTCTGTTCCCGCTGCTTGGAAAGCCCTTCCCTGCAGTCATTCCACTGGACTTTCTCACCTCCCTCGTGTCTACGCAAATGTCACCTTCTCAGTGAGGTCTTCCAGGACTGTCCTTTTAAAGCTCCACCCCATCGGCCAGCACTCCGTCCTCCGCCCCTGCTCTATTGTCTCTGTAATGCTTATCACCATCTGACATGGTACAGGTGCTGCTCCATTATCTGATTTCTGTCTGTGTCTCCCCACTAGAATGCACACTGCACAACCACTCCATATCCCCGGCACCTAGAATAACGTCTGCTCCATGAGATGTGTTTATTCGCCGGATGTCTGCTGAATTAGTGAGTGAATCAGTGAATGAATGAATGGGCTGAAGATCAGTGTGAGGAAGACGGAATGTGAGCAGTAGGTTTGCAAACAGGTTCAAAGGAAAACCCCGAGGAAGTGAACACAGGAGGAAAAACAGCTGAGGAGTGTCAAAGGGTTCTACTATAAAGGATTCTGATATTCAGGACAATACTAAAACACATGAAAATGTGAAAGGTAGCATAGAACTAGGGTTAGACATTAGAACGGTGTGGCTGTGGTCAAAGGGCACCATCTAAGTGTCAGAAGCCCCTCCTCACCCCCTGCCTGCCCAGAAGATAGGGTGACTCCAGTGGGTGGGTGGAGCTCTGCACAGGGGTGGGGCTTGGGGATAGGGGCGGGGCCGGCAGGGCGGGGGCGGGGCCTCACTGAGGTTCTGCAGCACCCGGTCGCGCTCCAGCTGCGTGTCGCGGATCTTATTCTGCAGCAGAATCAGCTTCTCCTCGTACTGGTGCTTGAGCGTCTGCAGCCGTCGCTGGCTGTTCTCCAGCTCGTCGATCAGCTTCTGCTTGATCTCAATCTCACACGTCAGGTCCGCCAGGTCCGCCTGGAAGTTCACCGCTGTGGGGCAGAGACCGGCCTGAGCCAGCGCCAGGGCAAGCGGGCCTGGGCCTTCCCCCTGGCCAGCCTCGACCAGGCGGTGACCAGAGACTGGAGGAGATGACCAGTTCCACCGTGGGTGGGTGCTGCCAGGTGGGGCGACGCATTTAAAGAGCAGCCCCCGAAATGCAAGGCTGGGTGGGGGTGCGGGCACCCCGCTGGCTCCTGGGTACCCCGGAGTCCACAGTCAGCCTGTCACAGAGCACGCGGGACCCAGCCTGGGTGGGAGAGGTTGTGAGGACCAGGCCACCGCAGGGCCAAGCTCAGCACTGCCCAGCATGCAGGAGCGCTCGGTTAGGGGCGTTTTGTTTCAAGGCCGAGCGTTCCGGTCCTTGCACGTCCACTATCTTTGAGATCTGAGCACTCGGGGGGCCTGTCCCCACCCCAGGGTCTTCCGGCTCAGGGGCGCCCAGCCGGAAAGCTGGCCCTGAGCCCCTGAGCTGACCAGAAGCGGGGCCCTGGGCACCAGCCCCGCCCAGGCACACGCACCCTTCTCCTCGGGGTCTGAGTCCGAGCCCACCAGGCTCTCCTCACTGCCCGAGTCCTCGTCTTCGTCCTCACGCCCCTCCTCCTCACAGCCACTCTCGTCTCGGTCCTCCTCCTCCTGGGGACCAAGCGCTGTTAGGGGTAGGCCCCGCCTCGGGGGAGGGGTTCCCCGAAGCAGAGGCCAGTCCAGCAATGGCAATGCCACAGGTGTGTCGGGAGGGTGGGGGACAGGGTGGTCACAGTCGGAGCCCCTTGTGCCCAACCCCTCCTGGAAGAGTGCCACCCACTTCCCCCAGCAGCCCGGGCAGAGCCCAATTGGTGTGAGGTGGGGATCACCATGGCAACGAGAGCGATTAGGAAGCTGACCAGGCCGCTTCCCTCCATGTGCAAGGTAATGGGGTCCCCACCCAGCAGGGACCTGGGTAAGCAGGAGGGGAGGGACAGGTGGGCTCACCTCGTCCACCTCGTTGTCCTCATTCTCATCCGTCTCCTCGCTGTTTTCCTGTTGCAGCTTCGCCCTCTTTTTGAAGGCCTCCTTCTCTGGGCTGCCCAGGAGTGAAGGGTAGGCCAGGTTAGGGGACCGAGCCTGCCTGAGCATATTGTCGGGGTGGCTTGTCCTGTGTGCACGGGATGGATGGGGTTCGTCCAGAATTAACCCCAGAACCCTCCACCCTCTGTCTCTGTGGGGGAGTAACGGCAGTGGAGAAAGCCGGGGTGCCTCCCCCCCAAAGGCTGGGCAAGTTTGTTCAGTGAGTCCCCAGGTAACCCTGGGCAGCGGCCGCCTGCGGGAAGGTGGGGGACAGTGGCGCTCACCTCTTTCTCCGCTGCCTGACCTCCTTCTTTTTGAGCCTCTCCAGGTCCTGCTTGGCCCTGCGGATCACCTCGGAGGCGTCCTCCATGGAGGTGGCTGGGCTGCCCCCGAAGGCCGCGGGAGATGCCCCCAGGGAGTAGGGGCCCCGCGCTGAGGCCCGGGAGAGGCTGCGACGCAGGGACTCGTTCATGGCCTCACTCTCCAGGAGCTTCGTCCTGTGGGGACAGAGCGTGTGGGCCGGATGAGCCGGGAGGTCTGCCCAGCCATGGCCGCCAGTCTTCCCAGGGGTGTGGGCTCGCTCACCGCAGCTCCTCTATTTCCCGGATGTAGCTGTGGATCAGAGTGCCAATGGCCTCATTGCCGTCACCTGGGGTGGGGGTGGGGGGAACAAGAAAGACCTTCAGCTGTGACCTATCGGTGCCCCCGACAGGGTCGCACACACGGGCCTTTTGCAAAGAGGAGTCTGTATGGAGGAAGACTTGTCCTGTGCACAGATATGGACAGCACTGTTGGTGACAGGAAGACACGAGACGCAGCCAAACGTCCCTCCACAGACGGCTGTCACCACAAATGACTTATCATCACAGGTGGCACACTGCAGTTTAAAAGAATTATTGGGTTGTCGGAAAAGTCACAACGCATTTTTGCAACGCAACACATAGAAAAAAGATACGTCATGAACTTTTCCCATAATCCAATCAGTAAGTTTATAGGTTTTAATGTGGAAAGGTTCTCTAAGTGAAAACGGGAAGTCATAGCACAATACATGTGTCCTCATATATAGAAAAGGAAAAAGCCGTCGTATTCACACACACACACACACACACACACACACACACACACGCACATATACACACACACACACACACACGGCTTGGTAGGAATACACGTTCATACTGGGAGCAAAGGTTGAGAAAGGTGTGGGAAAATGTGCGCCCAGCTGCTCCCAGAGGCTCCTTCTAAGAAACGGAGAGAGAGGGGTGTTAACCTTTCACTTTACATATGCATGTCAATCAAGGTGATGGATGTATTCGTGCATTACTTGTGTCATAAAAACAAGTTTTAAAATTAACTGGAAAAAGACACACGAATGAATTGGTCTGTGAGCCCCCATATCCCAGGTGGATGGGGCCTAGCGGCTGGGGCTCCGAGCCGGCCTGGGGCTCCCCAACTCACCAGCTTTGGCCAGCAGCAGGTTGGCCTCCTGGCTCATGAGATGGGTGACGCGGTTGTTGATGGCATCGATGGCCTCCTGCATGGCCTTCACTCGCAGGCGCAGGGCCCCGTTCTCCTTCTGCAGCATGGCATTCTCGCGGAACAGGTCACTGTAGCCCTCGCTGCCATCCTCCCCCGTCACCCGCTTGCCCTGGGGGGAGGGACAGGTGGGGAGCCGTCAGGGGCCAGAGCTCCTGGGGGGCGGGGTGGGGAGGGTTTCCTGGAACACAGCCCATCTCCCATGCCCTGAAACCTTACATAGCTCTCCGTTACAACAGAAACGTCCCAAGTGTGTGACCAGCCATTCCAGGCCTCCCACCATCTCACCACGACCTCCCTGTCCACGGCTCACCTTCCTATCTCTGTAAATGCTAACCCGAGGGCCAGATCCTCTGGGGCCCAGTCAGTTAGCATAAATGAGTAAGGCTGGGTGTGAGGCAACAGGGAGTGGTGGGGAGTGGAGCTAACAGTCACAGACGCCATCTAAAGGGGCAGCCGCTGTCCCTCCAGCCAACCCAGTGCCCTGTGTTGTTAGATCTTCACACTGTTAAAGAAAAACTGAAACTCCCTAAATGTTGGAAAGGCTGACAACTAAGTTGCATTCTTTTAAAACCAAGGACAAGTCAAACCCAGATCCCCCTCATGAGCCCGCCAGATCCAGGCCTGGACCCCCGCCGGTGACTTCTGACACATGGACTTGGGCACCTCTCTCACAGCACCCGTTTTTCCCATTCCTGTTGCCATGCGCATGGCGTGTTTACATCCTACATGCCTGCTCTACTTTTTTGCTGATAATTCATTCACTCTTCAAAATCCATGTAAAAAGCCGCCTCCTCCGGGAAGCCCTCCCTGACCACCTAAATGAGGAGGGCCAACTGTCCCCCTGCCCCCACGGCTAGCACACTGCACCCCTCATGGGGCCCCACCCACTATTCTCATTCTGTGCCAGTCAGGAGTCTCATGTGGTCCAGCATCATGTTCCGCAGACATGAAAACACTGGCCGAACATCTGTCCTGCACATAAGATCCGTGCAGCTGAGGCCGAGGGCCTGGCGGAGCTCACCGCCTTGTACTCCATCAGCTCCATCTGCAGGCGCGCGATCTCGGCCCGCAGCGCGCTGATCTGCTGGCTCGTCTTGTCCTGGTTCACTACCAGCTTGTTCTTGATGTTGCGTGCCCGGTTGGCATATTTGAGTGTGTTGAGCGTCTCCATGAAGTCCCGGTCCGAGGGGCTCACGCAGGCGATCATGATGGTCTGGCTGGGGTGGAGTCAGGGTCAAGGGGCACAGCCGGCCCCCCGGGAGCAGGGCCCCTGCTCCACCCCTCCCTGGCTGCCTTGCCGCCCCGAGGACCTGAGCGTTCACAGTGCAGAACCCGGCATGTGGGGGTCTGGGCCACCTGGGCAAGGGTGGTACCCACAGAGCAGGCAGCTGCCAACGTTGGGGTGTTGTGATGTGTCAACATCAGAGTGACAGCTCTCCACCTCCTTAGCATTTCCCACCTGTCACCCCATCCAGGGGACTATCCCCCCCTATTGTGCTGACAAGGAAACTGAGTCCCACCGTCTTGGCCGAAGGCCATGGGCGCCTCAAAGCTCCTGCGTCTCACACCTGCAGCCTGGAGTGGGGTGGCCTCCTTGCCCCCAGGGCCTTCACACTCCAAACCCTCTCATCCTGCTCCCCAGGCAGCTGGCCTCCCGCCCCTGCCTGGGTGCCGGCCGGTACCTGTTGCCCCCTAGTGAATCCTGGAGGAGCCGGGTCAGCTTGGAGTCCCTGTAGGGCACGTGCACCACCTTCTTGCTCTGGTCCCCCAAGGCGCTGATCACGTTGCCCAAGGCCAGCTGTGGGAGACAGGCTGGCACTCAGGGAGGACAGCACAGTCCCCAAGCTGCCCGTACCTGCCTCGCTGACCCCAGCGGCCCTCAGGCTCCCTGGGAGGGTTTATGGGCAGATCGGATAAGTTGGTGAAGTCAGGATGTTGGGGGCAAGGGTGAGGGTGAAGGGTCAAAGGCCCAACAGTGGTGACACACAGGTGCCCTGGCCAGCTGCTGGCTAGAGGCCCAAGGAGGACTGGCTCGTCGTGGGTCCTGGGGCCTCAGAAGGGCCTAGACGGAGCCGTGTGGGCCCTGAGGCTGCTGACTGCCGGGGGGCCTACCAGGCCACAGTTGATGGAGATGCCCTCCTTGGCCCGCTCGCCGGTGGCTCCCGTCCGCTTCAGCCGCTCGGAGCCGGCCAGGTCCACAAAGTGAAACTTGGCTGTGAGCGTCTCATACTCGCGCGTAGGCGCTGCACCCTCAGGAAGCCCAGTCACCGCCTCATTCACCTGCAGCAGAAGGCGGCCTCAGACACGGGGCCCGGGCCCACCGGCCACTCTAATAACATGTCTCCTTCCTCCTCCCGCCCTTCTGAGCTGCCCCCACACGGGGGCCCCGGGGGCTCCTCACCAGCTCAGGCTGGGCGCACACGCGCATCTGGCACAGGTGAATGGTGAAGATGGCATGAGACCGGGAGCTCTGCACGTTCATCTGCGTGCTGGCCGTGGTGCGCGAGAGGGCCCCCTGCCTCAGGCACTGGGTCAGCTGGGGAGGGAGGCTGAGGTGAGGCCCCGGAGGTACCGCCCCGCCTGCCCCGCCTGCCCCACCTGTCCCACCCTCCAGTGCACCATGCTCACCTCCACCCTGCCCGCCCTGCCCTCCAGTGCACGCCCACCTCCTCCTGGGAGTTGATGAGGCGAGAGGTGACGCCAGTGGTGTAGATGCCCCCGTTGGCGTCCTCGTGGATCTTAATGTTGGACCTGCGGTGGCGGGCGTCGGGGTCACGGGTGCTGTCAAACAGGTCCAGGATCTCCTCGTTGTACAGCTGTGCAGGGAGGACACAGCTGCTGGGTCCATGTCCCGGGGCCCCAGGGCTTTTCTCACGTTTATGAACTAGCCCCGTTTTGCAGATGTGGAAACCGAGGCTCTGGGAGGTTAACTTGCCAACCCTGGTCCCCTCTGGATTCTGGGTTCCACGATCTTTCTCCTGGACCAGGGTGGGGACAGCGGGGTCCTGGGCAGGACCATCCTGAGGCCGCTCCTCCTCTCCCCAAGGAACAAACGTTCAGTTACAGCGAGGGCTGGGGACCCAAGGGGACCAAGGGCACTTGGGTCCTAGATTTAGATGAGGAAGATTGGACTATGATTTGGGCCAATCCTATGATGTCCCTGGGCTTGGAAAGACGGGGTGGGGACATGGTTCCATGAGGGGCAGGAGAGCAGAGCTCTGTGGAGAGTGTGGGGACAGCGCCCTGACCCTGAAGGTCCCTGGGGTCGAGGTGACATGTCTGTGTGCCCTGCACTCTGCTCAGAAGGGTAAGAGGCCCGGTCTCATGGGGAGAGCCTGCTGAGACCTGGTGGGGAGGTGGCCTGGCCGGGAGCAGTCGCCTCATTCCGGACGCTCCTGTGTTTGGGATCGCCAGCATGGAGTTTCACCCACTAAAGGGCTGGGGTGTTCACCAGGCTGAGAGGGAGCTGGGCGGCAGGAAAAGTGACCCAGCCAACAGAATCCTGTGCGGGGAAGGGGCGGCCAGCCGTCCTCAGACATCCGGGGCTTTGATGGCCTTACAGGGTCAGAAATACCTCACAGGAAGGGGAAGAGGAAACGGAAGGGACTGGTGCAGATATGGGTGCCATGGTGTCTGTCTGTCTGTTGGGACAGACCCGGCATCGTTTAACCCCTTGTGGCTCACCCTGTGGCATGGGTTTTCTAGGAACTGGCCTGCTCTTTGGGGATCGCCATGGCAATAGGATGGAGAAAGGCGGAAAATGATGAGGTGAGAAAGCTTATAGAGATTCACAACAGCAGGACACACACGCACGCACACACACGGCAGCAGTCACTCCATCAGGAGCAAAAGTCCAGAAGGACAAAGAGAAACTCCCAAGTCTAAGAGACGTTTTCCCCTGGGTCCCCCAAGGGGGAAGCACCTTCCCTGTGTACCCAGGAGGGAACACACGTGGGGCAGTGAGCAGGGTGGGGCCTGGTGACAAGGAGAGGGCTGCGGCCACATCCCTACCGGGGCACAGCCAGAGCTCAGGGTGGATGGGGTGAAAACCTCAGGCCAGGGGGTCTCTGGGTTGGGGTGCCACATGCTGAGAACCAGAGTTGCCTGGTCCCAGTGTCTCAGAGAAGGGGCCTGGTCAGGTCAGGTGCTTCCTGGAGTGTCCATGTGCACCTGGCGTCCCAGAGACCCTTCTGAGAGGCCTCTCTGCGGGCCACAGGTCCCCTCCCCCACCCCCAAATCCCCCAGCGGCCATAATCCCAGGCTTCGGCGCAGACATCCTCTCAGAGAGGCAGGCCCTTCTGCAGGACCTTTCTTCCTGGGCCAGGAAGGACTTCAGCCAGAGAGGGACAGGGCAGGCTACTCTGAAGTTGGGTAGGGACACAGCGGAGGCTGGAAGGACGGACGAGAACCAGCGTTCTCACTGTGTGCTAAGCATGTGCTTCCATGTCGGCCTCACAAAGCCCCTAGGTAAACATGTTGTCACCCCATTGTGCAGGGTTCTGCAATGACTTGCCCAAGGTCACACGGCTACCAAGTGTCCTCGCTGAGAGTGAGTCAGGGTATGTAGCCCCATCGACTCAGGCCCCAGCTGACGCAGGAAACCCCTTCGGAGTAGCCCAGCCCGTGGCCTTCCAGCTGCCGCCTGCATACTCCCAACAGGGGGGAACGCATCACCTCTCGATGCCTCCTTGGCTCCCTAGGCCCAGCCCACCGCCCTGAGGGGAGCCCAGCTCCCATGGCCCTGCTGTCCCCGGGTCTCCCTCCTGCCCACCCGCGAGGCCACGGTACCTCCAGGAACTGCGCGCTGACTTTGAACTCAGGCTCAGCCACTCCCTGCTCCTGTGCCCGCCGCTTGCGCTCGGCGATGCCCCCAAAGAGGTGGGCGATGGCCCTTGGGATGATGCCCTGCTCCTCCTCGGCCGTCGCCGCGTCGAAGCCGGTGCCCATGGTGTACGTCTTCCCAGCCCCCGTCTGCATTGCCAAGACGCAAGGAGGTGTCAGCAGGCACCCCCAATTCCACGACCTCCCACCCTGCGTCCCTTGCCCCATCCTGGTCCCAAAGCCACACCCTGTGGCGGTCACTCTGGCTGACAGGCAGCAGCACTGTGGCGTCCCCGGACGACAGACGAGACTCCAGCTATATCTCCGATGCTCTCAAGATGGGGTGCTGTCCCCCCGACGGTGGGGTGGAGGCACTTACCTGCCCGTAGGCCAGCACGGTGGCATTGTAGCCCTCGAAGCAGCCCTCGATGAGCTTGCTCACACAGGTCGTGTAGATCTGTTCTTGCCAGGTGTCCAGGTCAAAGACAAAGTCATAGGTGAAGGCCTTGTCCTTCCCCAGAAGTACCTGGGGCTCCCCCGGGGTGACAGAGGTACAGATGTGACAGCCCTCAATCTTCTCCTTTGACAGCTGCGGCCGGATCCTGCCGGGAATAGGAGAGGCCTGATCAGCCCTCGGCCCTCTGCCTGCCAGGCTGCCAGGCCGTCTGCCCCTTCCAGTGCCCATAAGCTGGAGGCAAAGGAGGGAAGCTGAGGGCACCACCCCCCCCACCCTAGGGACAAAGGCAGCTCTTGTAAAAATACAATAATAATAATAGTAACAACATCAACAACACCCAAACGGCAGTTGCTAACATTCACGGAGCACGCTATGTCGGATCTGGAGCAAGCTATGTCGGATCTGTGTTAAAAGTATTTCACGTAAACGCAGTCATGTGTTCTTCACTCGAAACGACTTGCCCAAGGTCATAGACTGGAATGTGACAGAGCCAAGCCCAGGTGTGTCTGACATCAGAGCACAAGCTCCTGAGAGCGAGGAAAGCCCTAGGCTAAGCTAGGGACCAGGGAGGGGACTGGAGGGACAGGCCTGACTGCTCCCCCAGGGCTGAGTGCTGGGGAGGCGGGCGCCTCTGCCAAGGCCTGTGGGGCTGCGAGCGTCCTCCAGCGCGGGAGCCCCCTCCCGATGCCCAAGCCTGGTGGGATGGTCTCGGGGACCAGCTCTGCTTCGTCTCCAGGAGCCGAGGGGGCCAGACCCGGCACAGCCCTGCCAGACCAGGTCCGGGCTCAAGTTTACTGAGAAGGGCGGGGACCTCTAGAAGGGACACCAGCCAGCCACAGGAGGGGCCCACACCCCAGATCCGGGGGCGGGGGGGCTCCCCTGGAAAGATGAAGAGAAGTGGCTTAGGGCTAAGTGGGGCACCAGCCGTGGTCTCCATCCAGCAGCCCCTTCCTCCGTCTTCCAAGCCGCCATTCACAAGACGAGGTCGCCATGGCAACCAGATGGGAGCCAGTGAGACTGCATGGCCGGGCTGGCAGAAAGCACCTCCCAAAGGCCTGAAGTAAAGGCGAGCGGGTGACGCTGCTGGGCTCCCTCAGCCAGCCCTTCGCTGTCAGCTGGGCCCTCACAATGAGCCGCTTGTCAGGCCCCGTTCCCTGAGCCAACATTTACCCAGAGAAGAGAAGGAGGGGGCCCAGCCCACCCAGAACCCAGGGACGCCTAGCTGCAGAGCCAGGGCCTCTGCGTCTCCATCCCGTCCCTGTCAGGGCTGCCTCAGCCCCTGAGGCCCACTGGGAGCTGCAGGCCAGGTGAGGTGTCAGCTGAGCCTGTTTCCGGCACTGTGCTATGGGGACTGGGGAGCAGGGAAGACCCTGGGCATGGGTGGGATGGGGCGGCCAGCTACGCCAGGCCCAGCTCGCCCACAGAGGGTGGCCAGGGGCTTCTTCAGAAGCGTTTTCCTCTGGTGTGAACAGGTTCTCCCAGGTCAGGGCCCTCCTGTCACCGTCACCGAGGCTGACAGGATGGAGACCCGAGGAGGTCACCGCCCTCTTCACCCCGTGCAGCTATCCAGAGCCAAGCTGAAGTCAGAAGCCAGCTTCTAAGTCCCCCTGAACGGGTTTCCAACTGGGAAGGAGCCGCAGTGCCCAGCTCACCAGACCAGACGCTGAGCCTCCGGAAGACGTCAGGGCCAGCGAGGCTCCTGCCCCCACTGCTAACAGTGGCAGCTGCGTGTGGCCCCTGTGTGCGCCAGGCTGCGTCCCAGTGCCGACTACCCCGTTGTGGGTGAGGAAATGAGATGGTACCTACACAGGACGGGGCAGATGGGGTTTGAACCTAGGCTGTGCGGTCTCTTCAATGACCCTGCCCTACCGTGCAGCCGAGGGGCAGGGCTCAGCGTGCCAAGGGGAAAGAAAGTGCCATGGGGACAAACGGCTCCCGACGTGGGGACAGCCCCCAGCCACCTGAGAAGGGCCGTGACACTGAGCACAGGCCCCAGGCAGAGGCTGGAGTGCTGGCCACTGGGACCTGGCTCTGCCCACACACTTCCTGCCCAGGGTGTCTAGGTGCTCCCATGAGAGCCAAGAGTCTGACCTGGGCAGCCTCTGGGGACCCTGCAGTTTTGCTGGCCGGCTCCAGCTCCCGAAGACGCCCTCCCCACCACGTGGGCCGCTTGCGATGGGATTTCTGGATCCAATTCAAATACCATTTAATTACCCCAGGCAGATGGCAATGCTGGTGATTGGAGGAAATCGAATCAGGGTCCCTGGAGACAGTGGAAGCGGGTGGGGAGGGGCCGCAGCCCTGCCCGTCAGTGAGAGTGACAGCCCTCCTTCACCAACCAGTCCCCAGACTGCTGGGGAGCCTGCCTGCCAGGAGCAGGAGAGCGGGCCTGAGAGCAGTCGGCGAGGACGCAGAGAAGGGCACTCCAAGCTTTTAGGGTCCAGGAGTTGAGGGGTCTGTCCGGCATCCACCCTGAGACCCTCCCTCCGTCGGCCCAGCCCAACTCATATGGGGTCCTCTGTGGTCAGCGGGAGCCAGCTGGCCCACTCTAAGCACCAGGGCACTCTGCAGGGTACAGGCAATGAGAGATGTTATCCAGAAAAAAGGCACCTGGGTAGGCGACACAGAGGACATGGTCCGTGAGCCACCGACCAGGGCGAGGGAGAGAGTGCCGGTCCCATTCCTGGGGCTTGAATGACAGCCGGAGAAGGACGCGAAAGGAGAGCCAAGGGTGCTTTCCCTGAACTGGTTCTGGGCCCGCGCCTGCCACAGATGACCCCTTTAAGTGATGCTGCGAGCTAGTGGCTTCAAAGCCCGTTTTCCAGAGGGAAACGCTGAGGCTTGAAGCGGGCCAGTGGCATGGCCGGTGAAGGGCTCCAGCTGGCTGGCGGGCTCTCCCTCTGCCCCAGCTGCCTCCTTGGGAAACTCCACCCCCAAATCCTCAGGCAAACTTCTCACAGCAGCACCTTGGCAGCCAGGGCGGGACTTCGTGCACGCACCAGGCTGCCCACCAGCTGTCCCTGTCACCAAGGGCTCTGTCCCTGTCACCAAGGGTTCGTCTCCGTGTCCTGGGACTCAGTCCTCACCACACTGCCCCGTGGAGAAGTCAAGCGCATGCCCCTCGGGTAGGAGACAAGAAGGCGGGGAGATGGAGACGGGTCCTTAACAAGCCTCCGCCCCCGCCCTCCTGTGACTCGGGAGCCACTGCCCCTCCCTTGTCACCTAGATGACCTTTCCCAGTCTTCACTTTCTAAGGACTCCATCACCCTCCCCTCAGCAGCTCCTCTCCAGGCCCCGCCGGGGTGAGGTCACTTCTGTGGCCTGCCTCGTCCCCACCCAGCCCCAGATCCGGCGAAAAGCTACGATGAAAACCACCCGTAGCCCTGTTCCTCCCTGGGGACATGGCGGGTACCAGGTCAGGGATGGAAACCAGTTTCCCGGGTCAAGGAAACCACAGACCCAGGCACCGTGGACCAGACCCAGCATTAGGGAGAGGTGAGTGAGGCATTCACCTCAAGTACAAAATGTAAGTGGGCATGAAAAACTGCGTCATCAAGATAAACCGTAACTTGAATGCAATGTTTGAAAAACAAATTGGCAAACTGTGGCCTGCTTCTGTCAATGAAGTTTTGTGGAACAAACACCCAGTGTCATTTCTGACCAGGGACTATGTGAATCTCGCCGGAGGGGAGGGCATCTTGCCCCGAGCCCCACCCCTCCAAGGTCCCCATCCTTTTTGAGGTCCTGCGGGGGCGGGGGTGGATGGACGGCCCCGAATCTCCCAGAACAGAGCGCAGTCTATTTGCCACTTGGCAGCGGCAGGCGGCCTGAGGGCGGTGGGAGCCGGGCGCGGGCAGAGGCGGGATCTGGCACCCGCGTGGCTGCGTGGCTTCCTCTGTTCACAGCTGAGCGGGAGCTGGGGCGACGCAGTGAGTTATTCTCATCTCCATCCCCACCACCAGAGACATGAGCACGTGGCAGGGACCAGCTCGACTGACTGACCGCAGCTCAGGGTCCACCCCCAGCTCGGTGCCTGCGGAAAGAGCTGAGCTCAGCAGTCCCGGGCTCCTCGGGGAGCCCGGAGGACAGGGCGGAAGGGGATGACAGGAGATGGGGAGGGCTGGCCCGGGGATGCTGAGAGAATGCCAAGGGGAAAACCTCCCTCTGCAGAGGGTGTGGTGCCCAGAGCCCCAGAGCGCCCCACCGGACCCCATGGCTCGGAAGGGAGGATGGGGCCAGCTGGTCCTCACACCCACCCCATCCTTAGTGACAACACAGAAAGCCAGTCCCCCCCCTCCGCCTCCCAGTGACCTTGGGCTCCTGGGGTTTGGCTCAGCTTCTCAGTGGGCAAGGGCCCCTCCTTTGGTTCCTAACTGACCTGCCCCCCAAATCTTTACCCTGAGCTCCTAAGGGTGCAGCTCAGGCTCTTCCTATTTGAAAACACTTATTTCTCACTGAGAAATAACGGGCTGTGCTAGTAAAATCACTCACCAAGAACTGTTCTGAAATCCTAGACAATTCTTACAAAGATGGTGTGTGGTTTGCGATCCCTGACCCCTCCCTGTGCTGGCACCTGGAACCCTGTCCATTTCTGCTCCAGGTAGCAGCCCCCACCACACTGAGGGGGCAGGGCCGCCCCTCGGCCAGACATTGTACCCTGGATGTTTTGCGCACGGTAGGTCATTACACAAATCATTTAGGTATAAGGCGGGTGTGTTTGTCCCTAATTTGCAAGTGAGGGCTCAGAGAGAAACGAAATAACTGGGTTCAAGGTCACACAGCTGAGAGGTAACAAGGTTTCCCAGGAAGACCACATTTCCTAGCCATCAGCCCTGAAGACCCAACCCAGGAGAGCTGGGGAGAGCTGGCGTGCATACAGCCACCCACCTGTGGGTGATGTGTACCTCAGGGACTTCCGGGCTGGGAGGCTCCCTCTCACCGGGGCCGCCTCAAAAGGCTTGGAGGAGAACCCCAGACCTGGGCCCGAATCACCCCTCCGATGGCCCAAATAACCAACATAACTAGTCCCTCTGGCAAGGCCCCAGTGGGCAGAAGCCTGTCTGCTCTTTCCCCCTAAGGGACCCCTAACACCTCCCTGAATCCTGAAAAAGGGCCCCAGAGGCTAGTGGGACCTCCCAGGAGGAA